TGACATCTTGTCTTTTAAATTCTAGGCCCCCTTTGTCATAGAAACACGGATATTCTCTCACAATATTCATAAATCCAGCTTGTTTTGTAGAAACCATTATTGTAAACAATCGAAGGAATCACAGTTCCGACATTCACATGGAGCGCTTAGAAAATCAAAAATCTACAACACGCACACAGTTTGCAATTTATCTGAGCATGCGTAGATGTGGATTTCTGTTGTATTTCCCTCTTGCATTTTCGTAAAATTCAAACCAGTTTGAATTCCCGCAATTGACACAAGGGCTGTCGCAAGGGACACTCCACATAAAGTCGGCCAGCGTATGTTTGCAGCTACAAACGACTACACATTTACATCATCAGCTCCCATTTTAAGCTCTGTGTTGCGTTGCATTAATGTCATTCCTATGAGTTTAACTCCCAGTGGGACCCAAGCTTCAAACAAACAGTACAAATTGGTGAAAAAAGGAAAGACAACAACAAGCAAAGCTATGTATTTAGAAGTCTAATCTAAATGTATGAATAGATGAATTTTGTCATCACTTTTTCTTTTTACCCAAGTGGCCTGAGCAAATTGGCAAACTCACACCACTTACTACTCGCACCAGAACTGACGGAAACAACACCATAAGCTCAATATTGTTTTTTTCTTTTGAAATAATTGTCATTCTTATTTTTCATTTCATTAGAGACGCGGTTGATCAGTTGGAAAACTCTATATTTGTTGGTGTTTTTGCAATATTACAGAATGAGAACAAACAATAGTAATTAAAAACCAAAACATCAATAGAAGCAACGAACTACATTTTCAAGTAATTTTATCCTGTTTGTATTGTCCAATGGGATAAAGAATAATATTGATAAACTGATTGATTCTGCATGCACAAAGTGAAGTGAACTTTAATTTCAAAGGAAAGATATATTGTTTATGTATTTTGAAACTGCAACTCAAGAATCAATAGCATGATTAAAGATATATAGTGCGTGTTGTGCTTATAAACTAACAATACAACTACTTTTGCCAATGAAGTTATTATTCACTGTTGTTGTGTCTGTCTGTTACTATTACACAAAAATGAATGGATTATCATAAAAGTTAGTGGAGTGGTATATTATTGATCTAAGAAAGGCGATTAAAAAGTTGATGAAAAGTTCAAAGGACAAGGTCACGGAAATTCAGAAACTATCTTGTAAAATCCTTGAGCATAAAATAAAATAATAGAATCTCCCTTCTTGCCCTTAAACGCCATACATAAAGACACAGGGTGGAGGTACATATGGGGCAGATCTAACAGGAGCACATGTCTCTCCCACCCTCCGTTTTGCCACTACATTTTAAAATTTAAATACATACCAATATCTTGTACTGAATTCATATTATATATTATATTATATTACATTATATTCTTTAATTAAAAATTCTATCAAAATTAGAACAAGTTGTGACCATTAAGGTCAAATTGAATTACAAAAGGTAGATATCAAAATTACAACATCAAAATATGACATTTACAATTAACAAATACATATAAAAAAGATATAAAATTAACAATTTGCTACTTCTGCAGCTCTTCCCACTTATTCTAATTTGACAGAAAAAAAATGATTATATTTTTACTGTTTATTTTAATTATTCAATTAAATAAAATTTTAAAAAAAATGTAAACATATTAGTGTACGCCTTTATTTTTATTTTATGAATCACCAGTATTTATCTATGTAAGTGAAACCAGACTTGATTAGCTTTATACTATTTTTTGGTTTCCTAATTTGCCTATTATCATGTTCTGTATTCTATGTGGAAAAAGGCAAATAAAGAAAGAAAGAATTTAACTTAACAGGCATTAAGGCATTATTACAGCAGGTCGTTCGCTTAAAAAACTTGCAGAAAAAAAACAAAACAAAAAAAACAACCTTTGCAAGGAGTCTTTTTCATAACAACACAACGTAAAACAAAGCCCACGCTCAACAGAACAATTATGCCCACCCCCTCAAATGGTTAATTATCAATTACCACACTCCTAAAAATAGATTTCCATGAAATTAAATTGGCAGATAACCACAGTTTTAAAATAATTATGTTTTTATTACGCAAAATTGTTTTAATGATCAAAAGTGCACTAGCTTGCATCAGTGAACTTAAGTCTAAACATTTTCAATATTATTAGTGAAATTGTAAAAATGTTATGACAAGCAGACTGTAAAGTGTAAGAAGACCGACTCCACAAAAATATCAAGGAGGACTGGTAGTCGAGGCTGCTATCATAAACATATTTGTTCATACTGTAGCTAAGTGACTGGTGTTTATACAACACGTACCGTAATAACATTCAAATGTCATTTCTCAAAGTCTCCTACCCTTACACCACGATAATGTGCCACATAGGACAAATGGTGTTCTACTTCTTGGTAAGACATTCTGCTATATTCTTCAATATCAAAGGATTCCGAATCAGTGCTTCCTATCATAGACATTATATTGTTAGGTGCGTAGCTAAGTGAATGTTGTTTATATATTAACATGTAATAGTATTGAAATGTTATTTCTCAAAAGTTTCCAAAGTACACTTTGCTCGCGTACTGCACAGAAAAAAAACAATGTTCTATTTCTTTGTAAGACATTCTGCTACTTTTCAATTTCAAAGGATTCACAGTTAATGTTGCTATTATAATGAAGGGGAAGATCCAGTGGGGGCACAGGGGCTAAGGCTCCCCCTGTGAAAGAATAAAAAGATTGAAAAAGAAATAAAGAGAGGAGAAAAGAAAAGAAAATGAGGAAGAGGAGAGGACAATACTCTAAAAAAATGTTCATGTACCAGTGTCTATAGTCCAGCATTCCCAAACAAATTTCTCAAACACCACTCAAAACACCATTTTTTTTACTATTAATTTATTAGTTTCATACTCCCTTTTGTCTTGTTTTACTGTATGTACTGAGGGTCCCTAATGATCAGCCTCGACTAGATGGACCACCCTCATTAAAGATTGTTGGGTCCGTGCAAGATACTGACCCCAGAGCCTCACTGCTGATCCTGTTCCTGTTCTTGTTACCAAAACTTTAAAAGTGTCCAGCGTCGCCAGTTTTGAATGGACGTGCAGGAAATTTTGTACACATAAACTTGGTGATATCCAAAAACATTCATCGCCATTTTTTTTTTTTTTTTTATTAAAGTTGGACCCCAGGGTACCCCCTACACCTACAAAACAAAACAGTGGTTTCAGCAAGGACTGTACATTAATGCCATTACCACTTATAAGGCACGTCGCATGAATGGTGTGGTTGGTTAAGGATGTGTTCTAAAGAACCAAAGTCATAAGTTCAAACTGCGTCTTAGTATTCAATTTTTTTTTTCCCCAATTTTAAGACATTTTATGTTTTCAATCTTAAGACATTTTTAATTTTGTACAAATGAACATTCTAAATATAATTTTTTTTTGTACAAATAAAAATTATAATTATTTAAAACATTCTATCTTATTAGCTCTTCCAAAAAGCTCAATATAATAACTTGCGTCTGTACCGGGCAGGTGAGCGGTTGCTCCTGTTGAAATAAAAATTGTAAAAAAAAAATTCTGCAGAGAAAGAACAATGTTCTATTTCTTGACAAGGTACTCTGCTAATTGTTAAATAACAAAGGATTCTACCATTATAATGATAATGACATTACATTGTAAAGTACATAGCTGGGTGACAATGTTTATACAACATGGAATAACATTCAACTGTTATTTCTAAAAGTTTTTTTACCCTTACACCACAATCATGTACTGCAGAGGAACAATAATGTTCTATTTCTTGGTAAAGATGTTCTTTGTAAATTGGACGCTAGAAAAACATTATATTTGTTATCAATAGGCGGCAACTGCATGAAGATGTTTGCTCTTACAAGATAATTTGTCAAATCAGTCACTGTATACCTCTGAGGTGTATTTAATAACACTTTCCCTATTTTTTTTCATATAATGATTTACTTGTGTTCTATAAAAAGCATTGTAAGCCTATTAAATTTCGCAGGAATTATGTACAAGTAACAAAAAAAAGTCTAATATTGACACGTTCGCTAACATACACGCGAGTTCACATCCGACAGAGTTCACTAAGGGTGCCAAGAACCCACGTCAACATCTCTCCAACATACTACTATTTTACTGCATGTAAACATGCTGGCAGTAGTAATGATCTCAAAATAACTACCATATGTTTGTTCGTGTTTTACTACAGTTGATGGAATTGATTTTCATTATGGTGGCACCGTATATGCCTTCGCCTATGGGATGGAACTAGGAAAAAAGGTTTTTTTTGGAATTTTAAATCTTTTATATTTGACAAAAAAGTACATGCCAAGTATTGATGTTAAAATAGAAAAAATATGCTAATAGACAAATTAATAATAATAAAAAAATATATATATATGTATTGGGTTTTAACATCACCTGTTTAAATATAAGAATGCATTAAAAATATTCCAAATTGGTTTCCAAAAAAGTACATGCCAAGTATTGGTGTTGAAATAGAAAAATTATGCTAATAGTCAAATTAATAAACAAAAAAAAACAAAAAAAATATGTATTGGGTTTTTAGCATCACCTGTTTAAATATAAGAATGCATTAAAAATATTCTAAATTGGTTTCCAAAAAAAGTGAAGTTAGTACACATAAAACGCTTACTGTACATTTACTGTAATTGCCCTAATTTGAACATTCATCCTATAGCTATTTTATCTATGATCTAGGACAACAAATCCACACCCGATTACGGATCATCACCGAAATTAATCATCTTGTCCTTGGGTCATAGCTAAAACTCCTTGTAAATTTCACTCAATCTGTACAACCGTTTTTAAGATATTTTGAACACACACACACACACACACACCCACACACACACACACAAACTTTCATGACTGAAAACATGTATCTCCTGGTGGAGATAATGTTTGACACTTTTCTCATCACGTTTAAAAAATGAATTGGTTTTTACAATAAAATTCTTGACTTACTTAAGAAGAATAGAGTGTAGGCCTCGATCAAAATATCTGCAAAGAAGAAAACAATATTCCACAGTTTAATTTTTATTCACAATTTCATTACGAAGATATGTAAAAGAGATAGAATATGATGAGTAATATTGATTAGATATTGATAAGTCATAAAAGTCCACAATAATTTCTTGATATCAATTTAGATTGGTATCAATTTCAAGATGACTTTCTCCTAAAATTATTTTTTATTAGAATTTACATCCTCCTGTGTGGAAATAATTAGTGACGAATATTGTAAGAACTATAACAAAATCAGGGATGTAGTTATGGTGGCAGGAGGTGGGTGGGGCACCCAGCCTTGAAATTTTCCTTCCAGTCTAAAGCTAATTTCATGGCCCTCCACCCACCACTTATTAACCCACTTTTCCATCCTCAAAAAAATCCACTCTTATTATTTAGAGGTTACCAATGTATCTCCCACGCACCATTAAAATGTCAATAACTCAATTTTAATTAATGTGTTTTTTATATGCCTTTTTATATCTTCCATTTTTATCATTTTAATTTAGTTTTATGTCTGGTGCTGTACTTTTTATCCCTGGTTTCTTTTCTATGTTTGTGTTGCGAATTTCTTAAATTTTGGTGTTTTTTAACTTTTTAACAATTTTTGTAATACATTCATATATAGCTTTTTGGTTGTCTGTCTGTAATTTTTAATATTTTTTATCTGAATAAAGACCTTGAATCAGTTTACTGTACTTGTCGTAAGCCCTGGTTAGTGGCCACAAAGACGTTCTGTATTAACTTATTTTGACGTTACTACAGACGATTTACTCCTAACCAGTCTCAGGAGTACGGTAAGTGTGCTACTTTCGCGTACACAAGGAATGTAAAGGAATACGTGCTCGGAGTAGCGCTGTGTGGATGCAGTTACTTCAGAGCTCGCAAGTAAATAAGACCCTTATTTTGACCTCAGTTTATTTTAAAAAATAAACATCTACAAATGAGATCTAAAATAACATTTCCCATGATGTGAAAACCTTTGCAGACACGATCTTTTTATAATTGTTTACAATTTCAAGAATTTGTGTACTAAACAACCATTGAAAGACAACGAAAATGGTTATTATCACTTCCAGAAAAATTTACCTAGTTATTTCTAAATTTACTTTGAACTAGATTTGAATAAAAAGAATATTAAGCCCTGGGTAAACATCGTGCGGACACACATAAAATTTTATGTCTGTCATAACTTTACTTCAGACGGAAGGCCGTCTGAACATAAAAATAAAAATAATTACCAGTTGTAACCCGTCCTACTATCTATTATTCTATTTTTGTCTCTACCCAAAATTCGGAATTAGAAATTGAGGCTGGGCCCCTGGAGACCTGCAGCGGCCATAATACAGCGCCAATACCATGTTCATGTTACATGTCCTATGGTTGGGAAATATTGAGAATAGCCATTCTGGCGAAGATGAAAATCCAAAAAATGGGTAGGTCGGTAGGAAAGAGTTTGTTTTTCCACCCACCTCCCCTCCCAAAAATGTGTTTATGCCTAAAAATTAGAAAATACACAAAAATACAGCAAAGACCATTTTAAAATCCAATTTAAAAGTAAAATGATTGCATAACACTTTCACATCATCTACCGTCCAACAACATAATCTTATTCCAGCCTTTTCAGCTCATTTAAAAAATATATTTTTTTGCCGATCGAACCTCAATTTCGAACATTCTGGGTCAGTCAGGCATGGCATACACAATAATTTTTTTTATTTGGCCTATTTGGAAGATGGCATTCTAACGAAATGAGTGAGAGAATTGACAACAAATAGCATTACATGCAAATATATTAACTTGTAGGAGATGGGCTTGTTTCTGGGAGATTTTTTTGTTTTCTCACAAAGAGAGTGCGAGGCTCTCCCATTTCCAAGAGACTTGCATGGCCCATAAGGGACACTTGGGACATCTGTTTTAACTAATATACCTATCAATTGTTAAACATTTTCTATCTCATGTGCTTAAGTGATCACATGCAAATGACGTTTGACCCTTTGGCTTGGAAAAGATCAGCATGAAAATGTGCTAAATATGCAATTAGACCCCACTTTAGGTTCCAAAAACAGCATTCTAATCTAAGCTAAGCAGAAGTCAGGTACCTCAGGCTGTAATATACATAAACCAATTTATGGCCCATTAAAGAATAAGCTGGGCTAAGCTTGGCCAAACTTGCCATAAAGACATCATTAAATAATATTAATAGTAATATATCAATAATGTATATAATGCGCATATGTTCAAATGAATAGATGTAAATAATCATGGGCTGTAAATTAGCAATTACCTAAAATACATAATAAATGGTAAAGGTATAATAGTATTAGTAATATTAATAATAATACTAATAATAATAATAATAATAATAATACTAATAATAATAATAATGTTACATTTATATTGTTAACGTATATACATATATAAGTGTATTTAAATATATTAGTAATATTAATAATAATACTACTAATAATAATAATAATAATAATAATAATAATAATAATAATAATAATAATAATAATAATAACAATAATAATAATGTTACATTTATATTGTTTACGTATATACATATATAATTGTATTTAAATATATTTATATTGACAACCAACCAGTGGTTTTACTTTACACATTGTGTACCAGAGGTTTTACGAGACAACCAACCACTTTAATTCTATAATATATTAATTAATATTACGTTCAAATGTATAAATGATCATGAACTATACATTAATATTGCATAATTTATCTAGATCAGGGGTTCTCAACTACAGTATATTATTACAGAGGCCATGTTTGGATTAAACCAAAGGCCCACTGATCACAAAGTGACCTGAAGGTCTAGAGGGGGTTGTAACGGGATGGATGCACTTCAACATGCAGACCAACATTTGAGAACCCCTGATGTAGCTAATTATACACTTCACCAGAGCAATTCTATATTATTTTATACTAATTCAAGGATAGTAAAACTCATCCAGGAATCATCCAATCCTATGCCAAATGCATTGCAATGGCCTGTCGCTAAGCTAGGGATTGACCGATGTATAAGAATTTAACTAACATACAGTACCTATCAACTGTTAAACATTTTTTATCTCATGTGCTTAAGTGATCATGTGTAAATGATGTTTGACCCTTTGGCTTGGAAAAGATCAGCATGAAAATGTTGAGAGCATAACATGTCACGAGTGCAATGTAATTGTTATTTATTTGTAAGTAGCTATAAAAGTAACAACTAGGGTGGATGCAAAATTTGGCAGTGGGGGTGCGTGAGAGTCAACACTACCTCAGCCCCACCATGGTTGGGGCTGAGGTACAAATGTTTTGAGAATATGGACCCCCCAGGTACCCGGAAATTGCGTTCTCATAACTAAAAATAATTCATATCAACAATCAATCAAATACAACAATTATTTTTCTTAATACAATTTAGGGGGGGTTGTGTTTGCGCCGTCTGCACGTCCCCCACTGCATCCGCCCGAGAGTAACAAGTAAATACTATAATAATATCAATAATGTACTTATAAGGTACAAGTTCCATATGTTAAATTGTGCAAATAATCATAAACTGTAAAACAATAATGTGTAGTTAATTAAATTTTACCAGAGCATTTCTATAATATTTTACATGATAGTTATAAATACTACAAAGAGTACTGCGGCATTGTCTGGGCATGCTAAGACAAACATTTAGTGTTCGTGTACAAATTTATGCCTACCCAGAATAGTAAACTTCGTGTAGAAGATTTTATCAGACGAGTTTTTCACTCAAAGCCAAAAATGGAGGACTTTACATTGTGCACCGACGGTAGTTCATCTCGTTTAGTCCACATGCCATGATTTTAGATTGTAACAGCGCATTAATCAGACACAATCAACGTTGCTGTTGAATGCAAATACTTTGCATATGGTATGTTTATTGTTACAGTTTTGAAATAATGAACTAAAAAAAATCTCTTTTTACATTATGGTGGCCCTGAAAAGGGTTGTTTGTTTTGAGTATTTTGGGGGTCATCGTATGTACGAAGCGTATATAAAACTGAGGCTTCGTATAACTGAGGTACGTAAAAACGAGGTTCTACTTGGATGGGAGACCGTCTTCAGACTGACTATGTGTAGAGTTAAAAGCGTTAATTCTTTGAGCGGTTTGGCAGGTGTCGCTCCCTGCAACATTAATTTTTGAATTTCACTCCTCACTCTGGTTTTCAATTACTTGGTTGCATTTTTGGTGTTTTAAGAGCATATTTTGATTGTACATGTACTGCTCATTAAGTGGTCCCGCTAGGCCAATTTGGGGCCCTTTATCCTTGCCAAAAATTAGTATCGCGGAGCCCCGTGATGTTCAAGGCCCTTGGCTTCAGTCACGCCACTGTATTCAGTCCAGGTAAAAGCTTGTTTGGGAGAGAAATTTTATATACAACATTGTAATGACATTTGGTTGTCCTAACAGACCGTTCACTAAATGTAAATTAGTATATAGAATCCCTATATAATTTCACCCACATGATAGAATAATGATAGACTCAAAGAATAATTGATTGATTATATTCCAGAAATAATTCCATTACAAATGATGATTTACAATAAATCTATCACTTACAAATAAATTTTGAAAAATACAAAAAAATTAATAATTACATGTTTGTTGTTGCCGCCCCTGTTGTCACTGATATTACTGCCATCATCATTATCACCAACATTACTTTATTATTATAATTTATAAATATTTTATTTGTTCTTGTAATAATAATTTTTGCATTTATTGTCAAATGTTTACTTAAATTTTTAATTTGTTTCATATTTTGTAAACATCGTGCAATTCAGCCATTCAGCAATTTCAAAGTTAATTTAAAAAACAAATTATAAATAATAATTTTGTATTTTGTATATTGATTTTGTAATTTTTAATTGAATTAACATTAGTATTTAGCCTACTTTATTAAATAACATATATAATATGTGGTCTCACCACGAAATGAAACGCATTGTTGGTGAAATCATATTGAGATAGTCACCAAAATAGGTCAAAGTTTTTAATGTTTTTGAATAACTTGATACTTACCATATATTTAATGATTGTACACTTTTTAAGTGAATTTTCTTACTAAAACAGTGTTCTCTGCGCATGTTCTGTAATTCTATTTAAAGATTGAGTAACTAGGCAGATACGTCATACCTTCTTATATACCATTAAATTGTGTAACTTGTTAGCTAATGCATCAGTGAACCATACAGAAGACAATATATTGTCATAATAATACTAATTAAATAGGATTTGTATAATGCAGAAATTGTTCTTGAAATACAGCTCAAGGTAATTACCATAAGAAAAGAATAATAAAAAGCAGTCCATGGTTTTCAATTTAATTTAATTCCACTCAAAAAAAAGGCATTACATAATATGAGTGATGGGCAAATGCTTACTACAAAGTATTGCAAAAAAACAACTCAATTTAGAAATTAAAATTTGCAGGACTAATTTGTATTAAGCCTTGCTTTATCTCTGCTCATCACTCACAATTCTTTTTTATTTTCTCATATTGAAATTATTATTAACCTTTGTATTCTTAGATGGCATTTCATGATTAAAATGTGTGTGAGTTCTTGATGGTTATTAGAACCAGGGTAAAATATTTATTTATTTATTATTTATTACAGATATAAGAGCATATCCACTACCAGCAGTGGTGGACCATCAAAGGGTGCCTGGTATGCATTGCATCCACTAGCTGAAATTGCTAAAAAAATTAAAATTACTGTGCCTTTTATAAAAATAGAACATACATTTGTATCTGATTGTAGACTAACAAACTTATTCCTAGCAGGTCCTAGCATACCCTGCAATTTACCTTACGGTCCACCAATGATTACCAGCAAATAAGAATTACACACTTTTAATCTAAATTGCTATAATATAAGTAAGAATTATACTTGTGTATATTATAGGCATATGCCATCACAAACCAGCATCCAACAGTCAAAAACAAAAAAAATTGATTTTTAATCTGTTCTATTTACTATTAAGCTTATAAATCGTCACTGTTTGTCACAGACACAAACTTCAATTTCGACCAAAACAGTGTTTTGAGAAAAACACGTTTGAAGTCGACCTTTTCACTATCAAGATATCAAAATCTTAAATATTTGATTACATATGGTTAAAGATAAAGCATTAAACAATTCAAACGTTCAATTATTTTTCTTTTCTTAACTTTAATTAACCTGTTAATTAGAGTGCACAGTTTATGTCTGTCTGTGAAAACGATCAGAATAAACACATCATATGTTGTTTACACGTTGAGTGAAGTTTGTGTCTTTGCGTAAACAAAAATCTCATTTGTTAGGCACAAACTCTATTTTAGTCTGTTTAACCATTACAGTCAAGGGTGATCACAGGCCTACAACTAACTAAGCTTACCCTACTTAAATCATTAGGTTTTTTACTACTAAGAATTCCACACTTGATGCATGTAGTATAGGCCTAGTGCACGTTATACTGCAAGAAGAATACTGCTACGCCTGGGTAAGTTAGGGGAAATTTAATCTTTACATGTAGCCCTAACCAAGCTAGACCTTATCTAGCTGATCATAACGCCGCACACGCGTCTATTGATAACCCACTGTTTCCAAAATTGACTTGTTTTTGATACTTTTCACTGATTAAGACAAAATTTAGGGACTGGAACCCACTCTAAAAGTATTCAAGAAAAATGCACTTAAAATAAACACAATCATACAAACAAAATTATAAAATATACTAAAACCAAAACCAAAATAACCTTGTTGGCATTTTTGCAATTAATCTTTATGAATGTGTGCGTTGTCTATTAGATACTTAGTGTACTGCTGTTTAAATGGATTTTAATATGCAACTGGCAATATTAAGACCTTGTTTAAGAGACTGACATACTCGCTCATTTGCCAGCACACCAAGGCTACTAATGAGGGCGCCTTGACACTTATGTGTCAAGATATGTTAGACTTATATATAAGCGCTTCATGCAAGCAAGGCATCTAAGCTTCACCCTAAGTTATTGGATCAAGCACATAATGGGACACATACTCAGCTCCCCGGGGAGAATTCCATAATGTTGCAGCTGTGTTTGAATCTACCAAGCCAGTGGTGGATCCAGGAATTTGAAATAGAAGGAGACCAGGATACGACTCTCACAGATTGAGAGGCTAGACCTCCTCAGAAAATTTATGATTATGGCACTAAACTGCTTCTACAAAATCATATGAGTACCTATCCTATCCTGGGCCTTATTAAATAATATATATATATATAAAAAATATTGACTGTGGTAGTCAAACACTAGCAAGGAATTAAAGACAATACCTCCACATGTCGACGAATCGAAACACGGCAAGAATGCATACAGGCGGCTTTGGTGTGTTGACCTGATCCAACATGGCTACCGTCCTCGGAACACCAAACATTACTTCATACTTCAATTGGAAGAAAATCAGGTGACACAGACCATTTCCGGCTGTAACAAAAAAAAAATGTCTTTATTTGTTGTATTTTTATCATATTTAAATATCAGCTGGATTATAAACAGGTGGGCAAAGTGCAGAGAAAATAAATTAAAAACCCTAAGTGTGTGACCAGCCAACCATTTTTTGCTAGAAAACCTACGGCCCAACTCCGATCATCGATAAAAAGTAATATCAGAACTGAGCATAAAGTGGTATAAAAGTAGTCCATTAAGGTTTTTGGAAATCATAATTTAGGTGTGGCCCTCAGTGTTAACTGACAAATTCACCTTGGTCCTCAGACCTATTTTTTATGCTAACTAATGTACAATACAATATACTCTAATACAATGTACCCTGTGATGTAATAGGGAGCTTACGATTTCTGCGACAACGCGATGCTAAAATGGAATCACTAATGCGTGACCATCCTACGTTTTCTGGACAATGTATATTTGGCCAAATTGCATCCGAGAATCCACGCAACCTCGAGAACTAAACGTTCTCGCATGCGCTGATGGCTTTATGTGATGTCATTACGTTCTACGCCCTACCGTCGTCGTTCTATCGAAAGCTCCCTAATAATGCAACCAAGATTGGACTAAAGTCCTAATATACTAAAATGTTATACTTGTTATTCACCTAACGACAACACGTTATCATATGGGATAAGCACAAAATTGTACTAACCAAAAATACTTGAAGTACAATAAAAGTATGAATCTCAATAATAGTAATACAAAGTTTAATCAATTGTAGTTGAAATCTATTTTTAATATAACTTGATATAAAGTAATCTTAACATATTATTTCAAAGCCACCATTTCATATTTCATCGGTACACAATGGGGTATCCAGGATATTGAAGACATGGTGCTGAATTGAAAAATTACATCTACTGAACTTAACGCAAAGTGCCAAACAAGGCCAAGAAACGGAGCACATCGATGGCTGTTAACGTCAAAAGTAACTTACCTTTACCATTACTTTCCTTTAATTTACTATTATTTTTTCATGGTTTTTTTTTCCACATCCAGTAGGTTACATGGATTGTCAACAAATGAATTTCTTCATTTGCTTTTAGAAGACCGGATATAGGTTCTGTATTCTGTACCAAACTTCCTCACTTGTAAGCCCAGCAGGTTTCCTCCTATTTCTCCTTGTTAAATATTTTAAATCAATATAGTGTGTTTAATACAAGAAATGATTATGTTATGGTAATACTTGCCAAGTGCCCATAAGGGAAGTCTTCTTAAAAGGTTGAAACTCTGGTGATAAGCAGCAAAATAGACAAAGTGCATCGCGATTTCTATAAAAATGATACATATTACATAGCGTAGCAACTCTTTGATAATTTGTAGATACTGGGCGATGGACAACCTTTCTGATTTCTTTTCAATCTGTGAAAAAAAATAATGGTACATAAAATATAAGACCTGTTCAACATAATGATAATGACAGTGGTGGTGTTGATACCAAAATTGCTTATGTTTTGATGTTGCTTAAAGTTAATTTTTAGATTTTCTTCTATTATTACATCAACCCTCTTCATTACTAACATATATAGCATTAATATTACAAAAAAGTAAAGCCTAGAAACATTTATAGGTTTGTTTTTAATTATTCCCACTACATATTCATATGAAAAGGCTGAAAGTTTAATCAAATTATCTATTTGTGAAATCGATGAAATTTCTTGGTAAAGTTTGACGGTCAAGGGATAATATAAAATGAAAATTTTGTGAATTGTTCTCTGTTGTGAATTGATTATTATACAAAGGAATTTAGGGTTACTGGGGTCAAATTATAGCATACCACTAGTATCATGCTTTAGTATCCCCATGTTGCAATATTTTGTTAGTTTTAAAATATCCAAATGACAGTAATTTTCAACTAAAAGCAATAATGTCATTTTACATTATTACGCCGGTCAATGAAGAAATACCCAAGTCTGTACTCTAAATACCATACTATACGCACCCCCGGTATGCATATTCCATGATGATTGATATTCAAGTCCACCCAGTACCCATTTTATACCCCTGGGTAATATTTGGACATAATGGGGATAAAGTGCCTTGCCCCAGGGTGAATGCGATACGCACAGAGTAGGATTTGAACCCTGACATTAAAGGCTGTAACATGCTGTCTGTATCGCTGCATCTTTAATTACACTGCTACCCACACTATTATAAAACTACAACGATACTTTGTAAGTTGTTTAAAGGTACAGTATAAATGTTGTTGGTAAGATCTTGAAAACCTTTTTAAAAATTTAAACATAGAATTGCAAATTAAAGTATAAGTGAAGGACGAAATGAGTTATCAACCGAACTGTCAACCAAATTTAACAACTGGCCAATCAGAACATAGTGCCAGGAATACATGCGTGTCCAGCAAACTCACGTGTTGTCCCAAAAACACATGTGTTTGCATACATCTATGCTTTTGTTTGTGGGACCTTAGCAACAATCTCCAAGGGGCGGGGCTTAGTGGAAAGGTCAATTAAGGTCAGTTGGTAGCTTTTCCTTAACTCTTCTACTTTTTTTTATTTTTGTGTGGTATAATTTCTAACTTATTGATTTGCAAAATAATGTCAATTGATTTTAAGGCAACTTTTATACCCAACATTAAATATCATGCAATTTGGCCCTTGGCCAAAATATGTTATGTGATCAGAGAACAAAATAAATAACAAATTAGAGAAGAAAAAAATGTTACATGGCAAGTTCTTATATTCTTTGCACTGATAATTATTGGCTGGAAAATTTATAATTTGTTTAAATCAGTGACAATGTCTTTTTTTTATCTGTGTGTCGTTGAAAATAAAAAACATCATTTGATATTTTCGAAGGAGCCACTTAATTGAATATTATGAAGGTTGTCTATACTTTACAACAGACAGTATATCCTTGAGTGGTACAATTTAAATCTTGGTTAGGAAAATATTTGCTTGTTCTAATTTTAAATTAAAAGCCAAGAACTTACTGAATCAAACTAATTAAAATGTTGAATTATACTGGTAAATTTTTAGCTATCACAGACAATGCATCATTAAAAACATAGACATGATTAAACCAAAAATATATAAACTGATTTAATATAATGCAATTAATTTGATATCGAGACAAGTGGACGATGAATTCTATTTATATATACAATCCATTTTTCATTCAGTTATTGACCATCAGTTGCCACATCGTCTCATCTGTGAATACTGATCTCCACTCGCACAATTTTCATTATCTAAAATTCTGCTTATTAACTTAATTAGGGCAATTGTAGAAAAAAAAATTTTTTTGGGACCTTCGATAAGTAATTTGGAATTAAGCATAATCAAGATAGTTACGTTCCAATTACCTATTAAGTTTCTCAAAGTACATTAGGTAAAAAGTGCTTCGAATGCGCCATTCAGAATTGTTCTATAGGTATTCATTACCATACGACGGACATTTTTTGAAATAAAACCAGTAAGGCGAGACCTTTTTTTATTCCTTGTTTAGCCAACCCACCGGCCGCCATGATGACCTCAAATAAAATAACATTTTATATTAGGCCAAATAGTGCACCTACCACCACAAAAAATGGTAATTTCAGAAAAAAATAAAGTTTTCTGCATTTTTATTACATCTAAAAATAAGATATGCATATTTCTTCCTAATTATATAAATTTAAGCATTTAACCATCCCATTACTACACTGTTTACATTCAACAATAACATTTTATTAATATTTTCTCCTCCGTCTGGATGTTTTGTCAAAACCATTTGCTAAATAAAGAAAACAATATTTTATATTTTTTTCTGCCTTTCTCTGACGATCTATATAAAAAAATAAGTTCAAGAAAAAAGGTATAAAAAAGTCTCGCCTAAATGAAAACTAGTAAAATGAATGAACCAATTTCATCAACATCATAAATGAAATTTAAGAAGTAAACATACAGACACAGAGAAAAACTTGTAAACACATTATACGATACGATACAATACTGGTACTCCTTTATTGTCATCTTAACAATATGGTAAAAATGAAATTTGTGTTGATTGATCACCATTTCTCTTGAGGTTATTTACATTATATCGTTTAATTATTAACTGTCTCCACAATGAAAATAAATCCTCTTTCTGAAGCAGTCATTACCACAATGATGCCAGAAGGAATAAAGAGAGACAATCTACACTTAGTGTTAAATTTGTAGAAGCGGTTGGTGCGTCGGTCTTGGCTTTTGCCAACGTTCAGGTCAGAGGACCAAAACTCTCGCTGTGCAAGTCGCTTGTGTCCTTTGGCAACGCACTTTATTTACATTTGTCTCTCTACCCAGGAGTATAAATGGGTACCTGGCAGGATGTTGTGGCATTGATTGTACTAGTTTTGTGTGTGCCATGGTTTGCCATTGTATGCTATCCAGTGACCAGGGGTAATAACGCTCAGCACCTTTGATCATTCCACTTAGAATTGGCGCTATATAAATATCTGGAATTACTATAATTATTTAATCAGGGGTTCTCAACTACATATTGACTGGGGCATAACACAACACAACATATTACTGACAAATTACATACAGTAGCAAAGAGTATAAAATTGTAAAAGGTTCGACTGTCCAGATTTTATGCATGCAATGAAATGTTTAAAAAGTATATTACCAAGAGATAGGGGTTCGAAACATGAAAATGCGTTCTATTGATGCAGAACACGTTCGATAAGAATGCCTTATACGCTACTTTAAAGGATGCCCTATAGTTTGTGGCAGTACAGTACCTATTGAAATAGGATTCCATTCCAATGAAACCCTCATTCGTCGGACTTCATGCAGTTCCATACTCTTCGACGGTAGCTACAGTATAATTATAGCTTAGTTGTGAAAAACAGAATGCAAAATTATTAAGGTTCTATAGAAATCTAGGCTAAAGCCTAACGAAATATATCAATCTATGCTTGTTCTGGCGAGCTGAATAACATGCACTCGTGGGCAACTTTTAGAGAACACCTGTGTTACATCTTTATTTTTATATATTATTCATACAGAATATACAATTTGACATATTATTAGATAATACAGGGTGTGTTCACTTACCCTCTAGTACAGTAAAATTGCAATTACTTTCAATGAGAAAGAACAATTATTCATGACCAAAGAAGATAGGTTGCGTGTTGTATGTCTGTAGTGTCTAAATCAGGGGTGGGCATAAAAATCAGTCGGAGGGCCAAAGTGAATTTTTGATTTAACACCGAGGGCAGGACCCAAAATTTGATGTTTCCAGTGAGCTTCCAAAAACCTTCAAGCATTTCTTTTACACCACTTTATTCTCAGTTTTAATATTACTTTTTAGATATGATCAGTGTTGGGCAGTAAAAAACAAGAACGATGTGTTTTCTAGCCAATGTTGCTTGGCGGGCCGGCCACACATAAGACCCACATGTGGTCTAAATAGTCTAACACTGCGAAAAACAACTGACTGAGACACAGTTGGTGAATGCAAAAGTAAATGTAAACACATGCTGTTTGCTAAACCGGTACCGGTCTGAACAATGATAAAAGTCATTATTTTTCCCTCAATTAATAAAAAATGGATTCATATTCACTTCATGTGATTGAAAATTTTACGATCTATTTTGTTAAGAGTTTTCCAGACTGGTAGGTTTCAGATCCCAGACATTTATTGAGTACCTCGGTTTTGCATTTGTGTCCGTAGGGTTTGAAATAAGCGAATTATAATATAGACGCTCCCTCTTTAAACAACTCTCTTCCCACTCTATGTCTTCACTGCTACCTCCTTCCAAATCACTGAACCAATCTAGCTCTATAATTTAAAATACTTAACTCTGTAATATTGTCCCTCTGGTGATATTCTTTTGATTCGATATATAATTTTTTTCCATGTAACCACATCATGTTGATTCAAATTACATTTTAATTTTCCCGGTAGCCATACAATCTTTATTGAATATATAATCTTCCCTGCGGCCACATCTTGATTCGATTTATTTAATTTTCTCCAGGTCTATCATTCTGATTCAATATATAACTATCCCTGAAGTGCCATCACTTTCATTTTAAATACATATTATTCTCTCTATGGCCACGTCTTTCAATTTAACATATAATTCTCCATGTTGTATTTTTTTTATTCTATATAATATATTCCCCATTGCCTCGTCCATTGTTTTCTAATTATTTTATATATATCTACTCCTCTTTATTAATCTGTAATTCCTCGAAATATTTGGTAAGATATAGTAAATGATGCATTTATTTAATACCTTTAATTGTACATTTTTGTTTATTAATTGCTCTAATGGCACACTTATTATGTGCCTCCTATATTTAATATCATTTTTTATTGCTTTAAGTTTTTAATTTAATCAACATTTATAGGTTAAACATGTGAGTCTCGAAGGTGCTTTTCTTTTGTCATTAATACAGAAATTAGATAGTAAGACACAAGTCATTATTGAAGAAATTATTAGGTTTGCTTAAACTAGTACCAAAACGATATCAAAAATTGTATAAATTGAATGAAAATTATAGGTTAAATTTCCTTTTAATTGTACTTATCATCAACAACTAAAACATACAATAATACAATAAATAATAACAATAACAACAAAATAGGAATAATAAAAATAATAACAATTATAAAAATAATAATAATAAGTCAAAATAACAACAATATAAACATAATAATAACAATAATTATATAATTTTTTTTCAAAAGTTAATTGCATACAAATGAGTGCCAAAATAACATTTCCTGTGATGTGTAAACCTTTGCAGACACAATGTTTTCATAATTGTATACAATGTCAAGAATTTGTGTGCAAAATAACCATTCAGAGAAAACGAAAATTACGATTATATTCATTCGGGAAAAAATTGGCATAGGATACTTCTAAGCTTTGGACTATACATTCATATATGTTTTTTGGTCTTGTGTTTGATGTTAAATATATGAAACATGTAGGCTGCCAGCACCTTGACCTCTGACGATTAATGTTTTTAGCATTAAAGTATGAATATTATATATTTATGTGACTGCGATCACATTTCACCGCCAATCAAAATTCAAAATCCATACTCGATTTTAATTTCCTATTTAAATTTAGTTCGAGAAGCAGCGCAAATTTGCTTCTCTACCGAGATCCAGCCCTGCTTCCCATAGCATACAGTAATACTAAATAATACTACATATCTAGTGCAATGAACAATAGAGGGCGCTCTACTTCTATAACTAAACATAAACTGGAAATTTCCATTGCCGGTTAAGAACCCATCCAAAGGATTACGAAAATAGAGCAAAGTGTTAATAACTGATCACTCTTCCACCAGATGTTGGTACAAATGAATAAATTATAAAAATATTTGGCTGCCACACAATATTATTAGGTTTATGTGCACTTTTCATATAACAAATAATGCATTAAAAAACAATCAAAATTCTTATTACACAGATCAGTGGTAAGAATGATTGGTTTCTGATGGATAATGAAATTCATAATAATTATAAAGAATAAATTACAGGTTTTAATTAGTTTTAGCCAAATTAATCGGTGTAATCATTTTCAGGAATAATCATTGTCGCTTCTTATCTGCAGGCAATTGCTTAGCATAATTCAATTTATTTTTTGTTCATTTAATATACCAGATTAGATCAATATTACATAATGTTCATTAAAAATGTATTTTAATTTAAAATTATTTACATTTATAATATAATTATAATCAAATATAATTTCCTAAGCGGAGGCGATAGAATGCAATCAAAGTATTCAATTTTAATTATTAGTGTTTAGAATTTGTGAAACGTAATAATATTAATAATGATAACAATAATAGTAAAAAGAAAAAAACTATAACATTAATAATATTACACTGGCCACTTTCAGTCTTTGTCGTGATGTAAAACAGTTTTGTTTCAGCTCTTTGGACAGAATCCACAGAATTTACTGCACACTAGTATGAATCAGTGTTCAATCAGCGATAGGAAAATTATGCAGATTATAAAATAATGACATAAAAAATGACTTATAACACTAAAATTTAATAACTTATGTAAAGTTACTGTTTAAGAAAATAATTCCAAGTTGCATTTCAAAATCATGGATCTTTTTGGGTGACAATTTATACAGGAACTTACACAGAGAGCAGTCAGACAATAGGTAATATTTTTCACCATATTGTGTAGTTAAGCTGAACTTTGTAATTCCTGGCCCCCAAAACCTGGACTTAGAAATACCAGGTTGGTGTCTGGGGATAGTTTTCCACCATAGTTTAATGACTTAAAGTAAAGCGCCTTAATTTTAGTAATATAAAATTGGAAAACTGAAAAATGGATAATTTGAATCGAGGCAACATAACAAGCTCAATTCAGTGATAATTCAAAGTCAAGTGGTTTGTTATTTTCTATCATTTCACAGGTGACCATGGATTTCTTTAATTATTGAGTGTTTGTGTACTGAGTGTACAATGTATTCAACACCTCTAATGGAGGAGTACACACAACATAATATATACTTGGCAATAAGTGGCATTCAAACTAAGGTCACTGTGTGTGCGCTGAACCGTGCACATCTCTTGGTCCCTTGTTCAATTCCCATCACTGCCCTCCTTGTGTTTCAGCTGGAGGGCTGAAATACAAGTTATGATAGCGCACCGCCTTTCATATGAGACGCCATGTATGGGCCATGTGCACGTTAAAGAATGCAGTACACTCTTCAGAAAAAGGGTAGGGGACTGTCTAGCAGTGTACTGTCCAATCACCACCATTAAAACCCCGCACAAAAAGTCTTCTTCGGACCTTTGTGGGCTATAAACCAAATAAATCCAACCCAAGTCTAAACCAAAAGAGCCATGCAAAAAATGTTGAAATATCAGAAAAATATATCTTTTTCAAAATTGCATAATGACCATACTTAGACCATACTATTGAATTTGGATGTTAAAAATACATAGTAGGTTTTGCAAAACCAACAGTTAAATACTATCCAAAATGTTTTATGCATTGCATTTAAATGTCCAAATTTATTCTTTTTACTACCAAGCTAGTAAAATCATTCCTTAAGAAAATAAAAACCAACCAAATTTAAAGCTGCAGTTCCATAATTTGAGGCACGTTGTGGCAAAATGGCTAAGTTGTAGCAAAAATTGATCCAAGTTATTGGTATTTTCAGATACCTGAGTATGTGATCTTTAAAATGAGGGGTCATTCATTCAAATTGGACATTTCAAGACTAAGTTATTGGAAAGTGAAAGTACAGTACTCTTAGAATCAAGATAAACATGATTTTGAGTAATTGCCTTCTTAAAGTTATTTGTGCATACATTGTTTAATAGAATGAACTATCAAAATAACATTAAATAAACAATTTGTTGACCACTTCCAGAACTAATACTTAGGTACATGATAGACATTAAACTATTGATCTACAGTTAAAAAACAAATTTGGATTTTTAGGCAATTTTTTGAGCTCCCATAATTTATACCTCATTTACTCAATACTGGCCTGTGCAACAACTTAACCATTTAGCCATGATATGCCTCATTTGTTCACATTAGGCCTAGTTAAAAAAAAGTAGTATCTCGTCCTAATTTTTTGAAAAAAGGAGAATAAGGCTTCACATTAGGCCAAGTACAAAAAAAAAGTAGTTTCTCATCCTAATATTTTACCAAATGCAAGAAAATAAAAGAAGCACTATACATGATTCATAACATACAGTATGTATCCCCAACCACAAACAATCAAGGGAGGAATATTTCTGATGCGAGTTAGCTAGATTTTTCGCACATTTCGTAAAATAAAGAAAATTTAAAAAATTAAAAAACTGGCAAGGCAGAGAAAATGGATGCACGAGGGAATGAGAAACTAGTCTTTTTTTTTATTTGGCCTTATAGTAACGTGCATACTCAGGATATTGTGATAGGTGATCCAAATATTGTTTATAGTAACATTTCACAGATGAGTACATTTTAATGTAAATTATAATAAGAAACATACAAAAAATACAAACCTGGTTATGAAAATCTTTATACGACATCAATGGTCCAGAGAAAAATAATGGTAGATAAAAGATATAGAGCAAGAAATCTAAGACTCCAAATCTTGTAGAATCATCGCTAAAATGGCTGCAGTAATCTAGACAGAAACTTAGAAACCTTAGGTTGCATAGTGCCACTGAAAAAATGGTCATGTGGTAATCAAACTCACTGTCTGTGAAATTACTCTAGGGGGAAAAAAAAGCGAAAACAAATAATTTATTTTTTTCAGTAACCTCAAACAAAAGCTAATTAAGTAAATATCTTATTTCATCTGGTAATATGAAAGTCAAATATGATAAGTATGTTCATCGGCATTAAGAAAATGAATGTGAACAAGGATATAAGTAGATGGATATTAAAATAATAAGTAATATTATTATAAATAAAATAAATACAAATTAACATCTGAACATCAAAAGAAATAAAATAAACAAACACATAAATGAATAAAAAAAATAAAACATAAAAAATATGAAAAAAAATTAAATTAATAAAGATAAAATAGTAACAACAAAGTTAACAAAAACAAAGGGTGATGACGTCAAGACTATACATGTCAGTACGTTTCATCTATGCAATGTAATAACATTTATTGGCACAGCAGGTTGGTTTCCCAACCTCTAGGTTGGGGTTTTTTTTGGGGAATTGGATGGCCAAGCGATAAGGCAGGGACACTGCAACGTATACCTATATTATTGGCACTGGGTCGAACGGCAAACATTCCTATGGTTCTTGTGGTGAAACACATCTTCTCGGACACAGACTATAAACCGTAAGCCCAGTTTGTGTTTCATAGGTGTTCCAATGACCCGAATAATTTGCAATGCATAGAGGCCGACGCATGATGTTAAATAAGTCTATCATTAATAATAATAATTAATATTATTACAGTATTTAAATGAAGAGATGATATTTAAAATTAGCAAGTGTGTTATCATTTGCATCATCAATTCACATTATTTAACCAACAACAAAAAAAACTTGCTCTGAATAAGAAATATAATAAAAGGTTCTCTGCTAATATTCATATACTTTATTAATACTCCACAATATCCTTGAAGACAATAAGCTCCTCTCTGCTTCAATTATACTACAATTTCCCATTAATCTGCTTGTTTTATCATCTGCAAGGCAAATGATGTCATGTTTCCAGGCAACCATGGATGTTCTTTGGTGGAAATAAATGCCAGTAAATAGCTTTCAAAGTCAAACTTGGAAACATTATGGCGCTTGACTCAATAAGTAGGTAGATGATTTCTGATTAAAAATGATTATATTGTTACCATGTGAACAAGTAAACCAGCACAGACATCACAATGAAATTTTGTTTAATAAAATACAAAGAAAACAAACAGATTAAATTTAGTTATGGATACCGTGGAACAGTATGTTAATAATTAAAAAAAAAAACATAAATTGGCCAGTCAACATCGTAACCTTGTGAACACGTAAACAGCACAAACAGCACAATGAAACTTCATTTAATAAAATACAAAGTAAACAGAGAGATCAAATTTAGTTGATACTACGGAACAATATTTTAATTTTAAAAAAACAAAAAAACATAGATTGGTTAGTTAACATGATCATATCTTAACCATGTGAATAAGTAACATGACACATCACAAAGAAATTATATAAAACTTAATTTAATAAAATACAAAGGAAAGATATGATAGTAAATATACAGACTAGATTTAGTTATGGATACTGGAACAGTTAATAATAAAGAGAACATTTGGATGAATTGATAGCAGATAATCTAGTTAACATAATATTGTAACCAAGTAACCAGCACATACATCACAATAAAACTTCATTTTATGAAACACAAACGAATGATATATGCTAATAAAGAGAATAAATTTAGTTATGGACACTATGGAACAGAATATTAACAATTTTGAAAAGAAAAAAACAAAGTGTGGATGAATTGATAGCAGATACTCAAGTTAACATGATTATATCGTAACCATCTGAACGAGTAACCAGCACAAACATTACAAGTAAACTTCATTTTAATAAAATACAAAAAAATGATATATGCTTTTATAAACATCTACTAAATTTAGTTATGGACACTATAGAACAGAATGTTAAAAATTTGAAGAAAAAAACAAAGTGTGGATGAATTGATAGTAGATAATTCACTTAACATGATTATATTGTAACCATCTGAACAAGTAACCAGCACAAACATTACAAGTAAATTTCATTTTAATAAAATACAAAGAAATGATATATGCTTTCATAAACATCTACTAAATTTAGTTATGGAAACTATACAACAGAATGTTTACAATTTGAAAAAAAAACAAAAACAAAGTTTAAATGAATTGATAGCCGATAATCAAGTTAACATGATTATTTCTTAACATTTGAACAAGTAACCAGCACAAACATTACAAGTAAACTTCGGTAATAAAATACAAAGAAATTATATATGCTATTATAATTCACTTATGGACACTATAGAACAGAATGTTAAAAATTTGAAAAAAAAAAAAACAAAGTTTGGATGAATTGATAGCACATAATCCAGTTAACATGATTATTTCATAACAATCTGAACAAGTAACTTACTTTACAAGTAAACTTCACTCAATAAAATACAAAAAAATGATATGCTTATAAACACTACATAACACTAGTTATAGATGCTATTGAACTGTATGTTACTAAAAAAACAGATTGGATGAATTGATAGCAAATGGTTAAATGGATGGGATATTGCACAACAACATAGTTTGAGGTAAAGTACTAATAAAATACAAAGAAAAGATATATAAACATCTACTAAATTTAATTGAGGACGCTATGGAACAGTGTGTTAATAAAAAAAGGAAAAAAAAGATTAGATAAATTGATAGTAAATGGTTAGATGGATGGAATATTACAAAAATACAACATAGTTTGATTGAAGTAGTGAATTTTACTTCCTTAAGGTGTTTGATGGCTGGGAATTTGACAGTTTACTTCAACTTGTATTCACAGGTGATTGTTTTTGATATCAATCATTGATGTCAATATAATAGGTCACTTAAAGGTCAGAAAATTTCTATAAATTTCATTTTAATGAATTGCTTTCAATCATAGTTTAGGAACATAGCATTCACTGGTGACTGATTTTGGCAAATCCAATCCAATTGGGCACTTGTTAAAAGTCTTTAAAATAGAACAGAAAACATTAAAAAGCACAAAAAAAATCAGATAAACATAAACAAAACTAAGTTTAGTTGATCGAAAGGAGAATTCCCTTAAAGACATAAGACATTGAACACTTTCTAACAAAAATGGTCTGAAACAAAGTTTTAATTTGAAAAACCCCTGAACAATTTACTGGTCAGTACTGTATTAGAAAAACAAAATTGAGAAAGGAGTAGTGTTTTAATGAAGTTTAATGATTAGACTTTTGCTAACCTCACTGAACTTTCAGCTCACTTTAAAACTGCCTCTAAAAACTACATACAGTATTTTACAAAACAAATTTAAAAGTAATCATGCTGAAAATATAAGGAATGAGGGAATTTTAGAAAATTTGTAGACTTGCTCCAATTATACATAAAACGAGGGAGCTGGGACAGAAAATAACACTTGTAAAGTGAGATAGCTAAATCAATTTCCAAAGTCACTCAACCATAAAGAGACTGACATTATGCAAAATATCACACTTGGAAGTTGGGATAACTAACCAATCAAATTGTTCTAATTTTGGACAACTTTGTGAGCAGCAAGGGAAGCTTCACTGGCTAGATAGCCCACCTGCCTAGGCCTAACTTAACCACCTGGGCAAGGATTTGCTACATTCTAGTAGAAGCCTCGCTAGCAACTATGGGTCCTTGAGCAAATACTATTCATGTTAGAGGAGTCATATTATGTAGGCTTTGTTTATAGCCAACACAGACAGGTACATGATATATAACATATAGTACTAATAATACTCTAGTAGGACTACTACTACACATCTGGGTCCAGGCCTAAGGCTTATTTTATTCTATTTTGAGATGCAATAGCAAAAATGCCAAAGGATCTAGGCCTAGGCCTTTAGGACGGCATACCTTAATTGAGTCATCAATCATATATTTCAAATACAAAAATAATCATCATCAAACGTAGTACATACATGCAAATATGTAAATATGTGCAGACTACTCAGTTGTTCTTATTTAGCCGCCAGTGCCTAGGCCATTATGGCAATATTTTTTTTTACTTGATACAGTAAATGAAGCTTACTTTGCTAGCTGGTCTATGGGCGGATCCAGAGATGTCCGAAAGGGGGGAGGGAGTCCAGCGACATGCCCTGCAAAATATTTGTGTTCTAGACACCCGAAAATAACCTCCGAGGCGTTTTGGCCGATCAGTTTTTACTTATTCTCTCTTTCTTTCCGGAGCCGGTCCGGCCCCACCCCCCCACCAAAAAAAATCCGCCCCTGTAGTCTGTTTACATGAAATAACAGTCTACAACATAGGCTACAAATCTTGATATCTTAGGCGAGTTGGGTGTGTGACCGACCAGTAAGGTAGGGTGCCGCAAATTACGGTCTTTACATTAGCGCTGGTTTGAGCCAGTCCTCGTTTAGCGTTCAGTTCTCGAATAATGATCACTTCAAAACGGAAGTCCAATATACATCTGGCTCCTGTGCACTTTAAAGAACCTACTGCATCTTTAGGAAGAGTTGAGGGTTACAGTACCCTGATGCTATGTTCATTTCAACCCCTGTCGCCATGGAATGATGCAAACATGAAACTACTAAGCGCCTCTCTACAGCTGTAATGTTGCAACGGACCATGGCTATACGTAATCCATCACAATGACGCTGATCATCGGTGATTCTCTTATTTTTACCTTTAAATCTGGATCACAATAACTTACTAGCCATATTGGTCTGGATCACAATAACTTACTAGCCATATTGGCATATGAGTTAACACGTTCATTGCCAGGAATGCAAGTTCACGCCTGACAGGGTTCACCCAGGGCAAGGATGTGAGTTCACGTCCACACCTGTCTAAACATACCACTATTGTACTGAACGTAAACTCACTCGCAGTGATCACCAGAATGTGAACTCTCACCCTGGAGGTTCTGGGAATAACCTCCAGGGTGAGGTATGTTTGTTCGTGTTTCATTGCAGTTGTTGGGAATGATTTTCAATACGGTGGCGCCCTTACGCCTTCGCGTATGGGATGAAACTAATAATAGAGGCTTTGCAGTCAACATACATTTTTTAATATTACATGATTTCATATAATTAAATCACAGAACAATTTTCGTGCATGTATACTTACTAAATATGATAGAAGAAAAGGACTCATAATAGTGTAGAGCTGGCCAAGTACAGCAGCCCAAACGACCAGCGCCCTCTTGCTGAACGAGACCAGGTACATAAAAACTGCATAACATAACAGAACCAACATACACTTCCATGTCACCAGCAACGTGATGGACACCATCGAGAAAAGTAGAAGCACCGAATTCCGCCACTAAAAAGAAGAGTTCATACTTACAAATAATCAAAATAATCATCTATAAAAATTGTCATAGTCCCTGTTTTTGTCTTTTATTACTAAATATCATAGAGATAGATACATAGGTTGATTTTTTTTTCTTTCTTTTTTCGCTCATTAAAAAAACATGGTTTTTTTTTCTTACACTTTTATTGTTCCTTTGTGATACCCTGTATGCCATAACCTGGTATCACAAAAATTATAATTTAGTATTGTAAATTACAGTGTTCTTCTGATAGCAAATTTATTCCCTAATGCTGTGTTGATTACAGCACGACAGCTTATCTGATAGACAAGTAGGGAGATTTCGCAATCTTACGAAAACGATAACAAATATGAATACGTCATTGTCGTTATCATCATTCGTGCCGAAAACATTCTTATAACAACATGCTGTATGAGCTGAATATGATTGCCTACATTGTGACAAATATGCTACCGCAGGGGAAGGGTTGTGAATTTAATGGTGTAACCATATTTGTTATCATTTTCATAAGATATATAAGATAAGTATTTTCGGTGTGATTCACACCAAGGATAACCCAGGAAGTCTGAAGACATGTTTCGGGATGCTTCTGGTGGTGATTGGGCAGTACACCGGGAGACAATCCCCTACTCTATTTCAAAGAGTGTACTGCATTCTTGAACGTGCACATGGGCCATATTGCACACAGGACCGATGGCTTAAACGTCTCATCCGAAAAACGGTGCACTATCGTAACTTGTATTTCAGCCCTCCAGCTGAAACACAAGGAGAGGCAGCAATGGGAATTGAACCGGGAACCTAAAGATCTTTACGGTTCAGCACACACACACACAGTGGCTACCATCAGATCTGACTGAGCTAAGCTTGCGAAAAGTCACACATGTATTGAAACTATGGTTTAATGCCCACATGAGATCAATCAACCAATTAACAATTACATAATTGATGTGATAAGGGGACCTCCGTAATTAACTATCGTAATCTATAGTAATGTACAGTACGTTTTTAGGGGTAACAATGATATATCTGTATGCTCATATAATTGTTACACTTTCGCTTCAAATTAATATGTATCTATATGAAATCCAATGAGTATGTGTTTATGTTGATTAAGTAGGGATGTAATATGGAGTGCGAGTTTGCATAGAGCAATAGAGAGGGCGTACCATGGTATACAATTAGAAAAACGTGTGCATTGAGAGATTACCATGGAGTGAGGGAGTTTGCATTGAGAGCGATGTACAATAGACAAGAACTGAGTTTACATTGAAAGGTATAGCGTCTGATGACACAACACTGTCTGCTGATTGTAAATTTTCTGCGGACTGTCATTAAAAACAATCTGTTACAAGCACCCTGTTGTGTTATGTTCTCCACGGACTCATGCATTGAAAGTGTCATTGAGAGAGGGAGTTTGCACTGAGATGTATCATTTGATGACCTGCACTGTCTGCTGATTGTAGATTTGGCGGATTGTCAATAACAACCCAACATTGCACGCATGTTCTCGTGTTGCATTCTTTGTGAAATCGCGTAGGCCGACAATTGTCGGGCTCAGTCTGTGCAAAGCTAAAGCTGACAAGGAGAGTTTGCATTGAGAGTAAGTGTATTGAGTGAATGGAAGCGAGTACTGGATGGAAGTGTACCTCTAGGAAATGAGAAACTATACACTGAGAGGAATTTTGGAATGAGGAGTTTGTAGGGAAGGGAAACCTATCCCAGGATAAAACCTAATTCGCACTGGACATTTTTTTTGTAAGAATTAGCGAGCTGCTGGTAAGTCTTACAAAAATAAAAGTCCAGTGAGACTAACTGAGCCACACGTTAAGTTTCACAGAGTCCCTTTTGCCCACTAAAACTTACCGAGCCAGTTTCACTAAGCCAAAAAGATTAGTGTGAACAGCTGTGAAGCTTACCGAGTCACATTCATGGGCATGAACTCTATCATTAGTTTACCATTAGTTTCATTAGTTGCTTTTCACTTTGGCAAGTCTTACCAAAAAGCCATGGTAAAACTTACCGTAATCAAAAAATCCAATTGTGGAAAGTAGTAAGATTTTCCATTGGAATGTTTATTATGATCTCAGTAAGATTTTTACCAGGGAAAGTCCAATGCGAATTAGGCTTAAGTGTGGTTTTAAAGAAGAATAATATGAACATACAATACCTCAGCACAAAATGACAGTGCCAGTCTTCCAAAAGCTATGTAGGTAAATACTATAACACTTCCTTTCAGGGTTATAAGTTCCCTCCAGAAATTCCACTCAAAATCTGCATCATCCTGATAGAGAACAAATGTGGAAGAAATTATAGACATATATCTCGGCCAATGTCAGGAATGAGAGTTCTGGATGTTTACATTACTTCTATTTTTTATTCCTTGGCCTAATGATGAACATATTATAATAAAATGGGTTGTCTGCCAACCCCAATAGCTGTCTTGTAGTTTCAAGTGTGTAATGACAATGTCAAAGGTCAAATGGCATGGCTTATATTAGGCCAAAAGAAGGTGGTTGCCCAAGCCCAACTAAACCATAATCTTGAAAATCTAGAGAAAGTTTTACATACCGTAAATAATTGAATAAGTGCCGCGGCGCTTATAAAATTTTTAGAAGCTAATACTCATGAATTTTTAGAGGCTCATACTCATGAATCTGATAGTGCTGCTGCTGAAGATGATGATGAGATAATGATGATGGTGTTGATGATGCTGATACTGATAATGATGACGCTCATGATTGTTGCTTCTGCTGATGATGATGCTGCTGCTAAATCTGTTGTTGTATGTAGAAAATTAATAAGCATTTCAAAGTATGTCAAACAACTTCTATTCCAAAACAAATACTGCAGGCACACCTTTAATCCACCAAGTACATCAAATCCATCAACCAGGACTCCATAGTTAAATTTATACACAGATGCTGAAAAAAATATACATGTAATATGATTATTGAAGTATTACCACAACAAATATAAATAAAAAACACATGCATTACCAATTTCCATATTAATTTGCATAGGCTTTAGCTAGCAATGAATTTAAGGAATTCTTTTTTAAAAGGTCTGTAAATTGGTTGAATGAAAAATGTTTTGATGTGTCTCATTGGAATTGGAAAATCAAAATTGAAAGTGGTATAACATTTTCATAGCAAGTATGGTGTTGTATACTATGCCCACAGACCTTAGGTATATCTGATTGGTTGAAAGTGTGCTGGTTATAATTTGCTATTTCAGAAGTGCGCCATAATTAATCTCATACCCCTCTTACACTGCCAAGGCAGAATAAACCTGTGTTAATTCCGGAGTGATCCCGGGTGCATTTCCCATTTACATCCAATGAAAAAGTGCTCCCATTTTACGGGAATGAACTCGGGTTCAAATACTACCCTCAAATTTTGTTGCGATGGTGATCCATCATTTTGCCCGAGTTTCTCATTGAGACAAAGCCGCAATTATTGTCAATATTGAATTATATACAAGTTGTTTTTAAATTATGCGAATTAAACCAACAGTTGTGATATCAAGTCTATACCGCAGCGCATATGGTTTGATTTGAAGTGTCTAGGCGTAGCCCGTTGCTAGCAAAGTTCGGTGTTGTTTACACTGGCGATTCCGGAATGCACCCGGGTTGCGTCCCGCACATCGATCCCGGGATGTTCGGCAACCCAGGTTGAATTTTTTGACGTTTACACCAACCACAACTAGGGAGTTTCTAGCCCAGGTATTGCAAAATCCCAGGTTGTGTCCGGAATTTTGCTTGCAGTGTAAAAGGGGTATCACTGTACGGAAAGAGAACTCCAAGTGGTATGTTAAGGGGATGTGCTTCTGCCTTTTGTGCTTCTAGTGTACAGAAAACGCTCCACTTATATGGGTTAAGAGAGCCTTAGGCAAAACATCAGTAGACCTAGGCAAGAATGCCAGCTGTCACTGACAGTGTCACAGATATGATTTGTATCAAGAGAATCACACTTGAATGAGCAAGAAAAAGAACATGATTGAAGTATTACTAGACTAGGTGCACACTTAGTTTTGTAGGCTTAAAGTTGCAGTAGAGCTATAGTAGGCCTCTTCCAATGTGGTATATTGTCTGCATTTATCAGATCATGGTTCAAACTATAGGCACTTGGTGATCTCAAGACTATGCTATGCCCATTGACATCACGCACAGAGTACAATCATGGGAATATAGATTAAGCCTTGACCGGCAATGCAGTCAATATTTTCGTATTGAGAACCCTTGAGAATACAGTTCGCCCTCTATATTCAGGGTGGTATCTGGGTTCGGTCTCCATTTAGAGAACAAGCTCTGTGATAAGATTCACGACTGTTAGTTAATACTTTGAAAAAATTGTCTCAAAATTAAAGGGTCTCAGAATATGAGGCTTCTAGAGGCCAAATCAGACAGAGTCTTACAATGCAGCTCAACGCGATTTGTTGTCGCGCCGGGTCTATGTGAGTTAAACACTGTTTGAACATGTTTAAGATTCTCACAATGACCTAAAGACTTCTCCCGGTGATAAATCACATCCGGCTGCGCCGCACGATGCTGTCCGAGCTGGCCTCTAATTAGTGCACTGCATTCAAATACCTTGAGATTCTACATAGACTTTGTAAATAGGATACCAGATGAAGAATACAATAGCTATAGCACCATACACAAGCAACTCTAATCTTGGAAGCCCTGCTATACCAAATTTCTTCCTGTTTGCATCATTAACATCTTGAATACCTTCTTTAACTAGAATTTTCTCAGACCGCCTATTCTTCCTTGATGACATTGTACAAAATTAATCTGAAAAAAAAAATTTTTAAATAGCAACTATCATTATTGAAAATATCTGTAGGCTGTTTTCAAAATCTGTATTTATATATAGAATAATATTTTGAGATTAATTAATATTTTTTGTTTAATTTAAATATCATAAAACAAAAAAAAATTTTTCAACCCACACATAGTCATCCAGATAGCCGGCAGGATTTTGATTAAGGGGTTCCCAAATGTTTTGATGCTCAAGAAAATCATTGAAAATTGGTCTTCCAGAACACGAGTGGTAATTTTGATAACATTTGCATTCTTTTAAGTTCCGCTTTTTTAATGTGTTCGGAAAAGTTTCCAATGTTTCAAATCTTGAGCGTTTTTCAATTTTACATATTGTATTTTAAGATTACAATTTTATCAAGCTTTTTATAATATTTTGTAAACTTCTCGCAATTCAGTTTTTACTGCCAGTTGAAGTTAATAAAGAAATCTGAAATCTCATGGGTCCCTGTCTGTGTTCACAAGGACCTACTGTACTTGATCATTTCAGTCTGTGGAAATATTATTACTATAATAATAGAAACCACAAAAATTAATCCATATATATGGGGATTTTTGGCAGGGATCGTGTTCCTGCACACGACTAGGGCCCTTGACAGCTCTTATCCACGCTATGAGCTCACTTCACTTGCATGTCTCCATAATTCAAACTATGTCACCACTTATTATGCAAACTCAATCCTCTAGGCCCTACCTTTAGCATCATCATTATATTCACATTCTAACATTGCAAGCACCCTGGCCCCCCACTAAATCTATTGCGCAAAAAGACATGTCTACCCACTAGTCTAGTGATTCTATTAAGTACACTTGAACATGTGGTAGGTCTTTTCATATTCTGTCTACCTTTATTAATCTTAGAATTTAATTGTAAATAATTAAGTTTGCTTCGAATCTAACTGATAAACACCTACCATAGGCAAAGAAAGCATAAATGAGATCAATGTTATTCAAAAACTTTATATAATTAAGGTGATATTACATATCATCCACATCATAATAAGTTAATGCCAAAGGATGAATTTCACAAGTTAAGCATAATTTAAATAATGCAGTTAAGATTCTAGACTTCATTCACTTGTGTTTTGTTATGTATTCAATTGTTAATTACTTCATTGGCCTACTCCTTTCTTGTCTTCAGATATAGCATTTACGGTACATGGCCTGTGGCCTACACAAGTATAAGACGACCCCTGAGTTTGAGAAGATTTTTTTTGGATGATTTTTGCATGTCGGGCGTAAAAGACGACCCCCTTTTTCAGCGTCAGAATTCCTGGTCTTTATACTGCATCTAGCTGGCTAAAAATGGAGCCAAAATGTTGGGCTAATCTTCCACATAATACCATTTTATGGCCTTTTAAGTGTTATTATTATTATTTCCCAGCATTTAAAATTCATACTGTAGCTTCATTTCAGTAGTATATTTACGGTTACAGAGGATCCACACATTACAGTACAGACCAAATGGTTTTAATTTAAGATAAAAATTTATTTGTGTTTCGCATTTATGAAGACCCCCTGTTTTTCGAACATAGTTACCTCTTCTTTTATACGCAAGAATATACAGTATCTTTCTGGGCTCAGACGATAGTAGGCAAGGAACATGTGGCCTGTTCTTTGAAAAAGTTTAGAGTTGCCAGTTAAAACATGGAGGCATTATAGTAACCTCCATGTTTAAAATACTGTAAGATACCCTGTATACATAGGACCTGACCAATCACAGCTACCAAGCTCCTATGGACCTCAATTCCTGAAATGTTTATGGGACCCAGTTTGCGGAACACTGGCTTAGGAATGTGGCCAGATAGAGGATGCTGCAGCTGGGTCCTGGGAGGTGTGAAAGCCGGCGCGGTACCCGAGACCATGCAGTCTTCACATTTTACAGGTCAGTGCCTAGCCTGTAAACCTAACTTCATAAGCAAATCCTAGGCACAATACTGTAATAATTTACCGTATTTTGCGATTCTATAATTACCGCAAAAACCATTTAAACATCTTCCCGTTTGTCAGGCCGCAAAAAAGTTCTTTGAACGAAGACGATTGTCACATCTTCAAAGAATTCTTAGCGCTTAGCGCCCTCAGCGTCAAGTAAAGAAATACGTCTAGTCTCTCTCTCCGATCCACCCCCTTCTTCCACTGGTAGGGGAGGGTGGGGGTGGTTAAATGAATTCAGGAGAAGAAAATCCACTTTCCGTCAGTTTTTAAATATTCAAAAATATGTTATGTAATATATAATTTTTTCTTCAACCGCAGGCTGTCCTGTATCTAAATTACTGAATCGTGAATGCAAATAATCATAGAGTTTTATACGACATAGGCCTATTGGCCAAGGCTCTAGTATAAAAGTATATAGGCCGATCGAGTTAAAATGGAGCCTTTTTGGAGTCCATTAAATTTATAAACACAACACTTTAGATGCCTCTTATGTCTATGAAAGATTCGAGTTATAGGCCTATAACATAATGTAGGCCGGTTTGTCTGGTTTTGTTTGAAACAATATTATTATGAAAACCCAACCATGGCACTTCCCACTAATTGATGGCCCACACCATCGACATTGAATTAATTCTCATCTTCAAAAGATCATCTAAAGGCTTTACTGTTAAAAGAAAATGTTTGGAAAATAACTCATTCAACCTTGGGAAAAGTGCTGATGATTTTAAACGTTGGTAAGATTTTTTTACAAATATTATAGGCCTTGCTTCAAACCAAGTTCTAAACAAAATGTAACATAATTCATGCATTACCGTATTCTCGCGTATGACGAGACTTAAATTTGATGAGAAAACCAGATCGTCTTAACGCACCACATATAGACAATTTTGATTTTCAAACCATGATCGTCTTATATTTATTGGATAGCACTTTTCAAACAGCGGCACACGTTAGACACTAAATAATTTATTGTATTTTTATTTGTAGGATCCAACACCAGTGAAGGAACTAATACAGGTTTGTCTAAACTCAATTTGATAATCATTTATAACTTTAACCCTATATTATACAATTTCAATTTCTTGCTTTTCTCTGCATTTAGTGCAAGCTTCCAAAATATTTATTTTCTCCTTACACAGCTTAAGATCCTTTATTTTGAACATAATTTGGAATTGATGCCATATAAAACTGCATAACTACACATTCACAATTTTTTTTGTAAACAGAAACTAATGAATTTTAAAAAAAATATTTCCCCAAAAAACAATGTTTAACCTGTCTCTTATACACATCTAGATGTGTATAAGAGACAGGGGCTTGATTATTAAGTGAGTAGTAGCTTTCGCAAAAATGTGATTTTTAACTTCAAACATTTCCAATCGGGGACGACTGGGGCTGGGGAAGTTAGCATGATGCTTTTGCGGGGGGGGGGGAGATTTCTGCAACCTTAGAGACAAAAAAAACAATACAATATAAACAATATAACAAATATAACTGAAAGTATTCCAAAGAGGTACAATTTTATTCTGTCAAAGCATTCAATTAAAATTTATTGTAGGACTATCAGCCTGTTCTGTGTTTCATAATAAAGTACTCCCACCAAAGCACATCAAGACACCAACATTGTAAATAATTAAAAAAAAAGTTTACTCTTAAATGTCAACATATAAAATCACCTCAATATATATTTGTTTTAAAAACACTTCAGTGCGTTATTAATGTTCAGAGCTTGTATATCATCATTATTTATTTAAATATTGTGATGATTAATCAAGTTTCTTAAAGATTATTTGGCCCGGGCAGAAAATAAAAAGCTAAACTATTGAGAACAACATTTTCCCCTACCTTTAGCTTAATTCATGACATGGTTCTGTGTTTCATACGATAAATAAAGCACCCGCCACCTCCAATCAAGGAAACAACATTCTATATCAATAACATTCACTTTTGAATGTCATCATATGAAATTTAAAAAGTCCAAACATTGAGTATAAACCCGTTCCCGTAGCTTTAGCTAAATTCATGACATGGTTCTCTGTTTCATATGATAAATAAAATATTCCCACCACCTCCGATCATGAAACCAACATTGTAAGTCGATAACATTTACTTTTATGTCATCATAAGAAATTCACAAAGCCCAATATACAGAATAAACATTTTCCCATAGCTTTAGCATAATACATGGCATAGTTTTGTGTTTCGTATTTCATAAGATAAATAAAACAGTATTCCCGCCACTTTCCATCAAGAAACCAACACTGCAAATCGATGACATTTCTTTAGCTGAATTCTTGGCATAAATAGAACGCATTAGTAGTACATTATTTCCCTGTCACAGACCCCTTCAAATGCAAATTCTAATTCGCCAGCGGGTACACGTCTACGACATGCATAGGAGAAAGATACCAACACCAACAGCCCACAAAATACAAAGATTAGTTATTAATCTAACAAAAAAAAAATCTGATCAAGATAAAAAAAAATCTCCACCAGACCCAACACCACATACAATGTCATGCCACTAGACCACTGCTTTTTACCATCTTTCAAGTTTCAGTAACATTAAATCATTTTAATTCTTTAACATCTGACGTTACAATCGGCATATCATTAATTATCATATGGATGAGACAGCACATAATCACATTAGGCCTAAAATACTATAATTATATTGGTATACTGTACATTAAATCCTTCGATTAATTATGTGCGTTGACGTGAACACGGAGTGCCGTGGAATAGACGGTTCTATTATTTTCGAGGGGTGTTTGAGGTAAACGTACAATGGCATTAGTCGGTTTATGCAGGTAGTATAAATGAAATTGACCTAGTTTTTCGATTGTGATATAATACAATACAATATAGAATACTGATGCATAAGAGACTCAACAAACGACAAGCAACAACTGTCATTACAATACCACACAGCAAGTACTGTGAGTGAAGTAAAACTAAAGTAAAAATGAAGTAACTAAAAGTTAAGTAGTGTAAGTGAAGTAAAAGTGAAGTAACTAAAAGTTAAGTAGTGTAAGTGAAGTAAAAGTAAAGTAAAAATGAAGTAACTAAAAGTTAAGTAGTGTAAGTGAAGTAAAAGTTAAGTAAAAATGAAGTATCTAAAAGTTAAGTAGTGAAAGTGAAGTAAAAGTTAAGTAAAAATGAAGTAACTAAAAGTTAAGTAGTGTAAGTGAAGGAAAAGTGAAGTAAAAAGTATAGTTAGTAACTAACAGTTAAGTAGTGTGAAGTAAAGTAAAACTAAAGTACTGAAAGGAAAGTAGTGTATAGTAACTAACAGTAAAATACCGTAAGATGATAATGACTATATGTCCCCATCCAGGGGGAATCCAATAGGGAAGTACGGGGGAATGTGCCCCCCCACCGCCGCGTTTTGTCACTAAATTTTAAAATTACAAGGCATATATTGATATTAGCACTCTCACTTACCTATTCTGAATATGTTGTGCCCCCTCCCCCTGTTTGAAGAATTCTGGATCCACCCCTGCTAATCGGACTAGGACTTTCCCATTAGGACACATTTTTTTCTCAAGGAATTGCATAATACGCAAAGAATAATAGTAAATCACGTGATAGTAAACTTTGGTATGGAGAAACACCTCGAATGGTGGTAATGAATACTGTATTCCATCATGAATGAATGTCCCATCATATTCAAATCCAAGACCTTATGATTAACAATCAGATACTCTACTTAGATTTTCTTATTAGAACATAGTTTTTCTCGAGGCATCACATAATATGCAATAAATAATACTAAACATTTGGGATCAGGTGCAATTTATGGACTCTGGGTATGCAGCTGAGGCTGAATATCTCCTTAATGTCCTAACCCTATCTCTAACCCATTGAAGAAGATATTCAACCTCAGCTCCATGAATAGCACCTGATTCAGATTCAATATTTGAATAGGTAAAAAGATGTTTGTCTTGCAAAATGGATTGCCAATTAAGTAGCACAGCCTCATATCTTTGATATTAGCCATCCTTGGCCAACAAATAAAAATGTGAAAAGCACAACATCATCAAATGCAAAATATCTATTTTACAATACAAAAAAATGTTCTTAAATAAATTTAAGAAAAAAGTCATTAACCTGGCAAGATGATATCTCATATCAATCATGATTCATATAACAAAAAAACTATATTTTATTGCTTCCACAATTACACTTTCATGACACTATCATTTATTCTAAATACAGTACTTCCAAATTAAGTAACCTACTCTATGTGATGAGAAACGATTGTATATTTGTCACTTTTCATCTGATATACAATCTTACTTTTATTTAAAAATATCATTATATGAGTTTTTTAATCCTTAAAAAAAATTGTTTTATATTCACACAAAAGTTAAACTAGAAATATATGTTTGGTTTGTTAAAAATTGGAATACAATAAAATGGAATGTATGTTCAGGAAAAATTCTTAAGTTATTCATGAAATTCTGTACTTTTTTTCACATAGATATTTTTTGCCAAACTTTAAGTGGCACTCCTTGATGAGTTGGATTGTCATGTAGTAGAGCAGCCACAGGAAAGCACAATTACGAGGAAAATCTGAAAGAAAAATGATCAAGAAAATATTAAACGATATCAGTGGCAGCGTCGGTGAAAGGTCCGGGAGGGGGGGGACAGGACCCCTGTTAGAAATGCTGTACCCACAGTCGAGGAAGAAGTCAATATTTTGCTGGGAAAAACTGTTTTAAAAAAGCATTTTTGCAATTTGAAAGTTACATTTCCAGACATTTAGTGGTGGGTTGTGGTGGGTTTGGACCCATCCTCTATTTGGGACTTTGGATCTCTTGGCAATGATTTTTGACCCTCTGTCCGGGACCTCGGATCCCTTGCCGGGGAATCTCTTGTTCCACCACTGGACAGCATTATAATTACTTTTATTTAAGAATGGCTTATGCTTAAATAATTCATCAACATTTAACTAACAAACTGAATTTCTCATTTTAAGGTTCAACTTCCAATGCAACAAAGTTTATTATTATTATTATTATTATTATTATTATTATTATTATTAATTTACAAAATATATTTATTGCATTTTTGTTATTATTTGTTTTATATGGATATTTATTTACAGATGTATGTGTATTTCATGTATATGTTTATGTGCATATATAGGCCTACTTCAATTTAGTTTTGTTTACTAAGTTTTTAGTTTAATATCACAATTAAATTTACCTGACTAAACATATACTGTAGTTTGTTTACTGTTTATTTACTATACACTTTATGTTCCTTTTAAAATTTCAACTGTTTTAAAAAAATTTTATTTTAAGTATCTTTGTAAACCTTAAATTGCTCTATTGTTTTGGAAGCACCTTCACCGGAGAGGTGTGCCACTGACAAAAAAAGTGTAGTTCCTGATAGATTATTATTATTATTACAAGCTAATTAAAAGGTTAATTTATTATAAATATAGTATTTGCTATTAGCAAGAAAAATATTTTCTCAATTTAATTATTAATTAAAAGCTACTAAATAGCAGTACAGCCAATCACAGGATTAGAATCTGAGGATCATTACATTTTCAACATCCACATAATCATGAATGCAGTTGTGAAAATATCACATCATGCCCATATGACACTTCGCCTTGACAGTGGAGGTTTATGTTTGTTCCAGACACTGATCATACAAATCATGTATCCTTTCATGTCTGTTGGAATTCACACAATGCTTTAAGCCTTGTCCAGATTATCAAATTTTATTTGACAAAAACATGTGACATCCCAAAATATGTTCATGATGATATCACATCATGACCAAATTTAGGTACATCATGACTATATATGGGCATACAACAGTTTTTTGTTGAAGAGCATCATATTGTTTGGACAGAGATTAAGACTACCAAGAATATTAGAAGATTATTGAATATTATTAAAATTTGACAGTTTGGACAGAGCATAAAAGTCTGATCAAACAATAGATCAGACTTTTAAGCCTGCAGACGAAAATCCGTTTGTTTTCGTGGATTGGACCAAGGACTCTGAAAATAAGGTGAGCATGTTAACCACCATGAAACATCTCATAATAAATCTGTTATCTAACTAAAGCCCTGTCAAGACAAACAATATTTATTTGACAAGAACATGTGACATGACTAAATATGGTCATGATGACATCACATCATGACCATGTATAGGCACATCATGACCATATATAGGCACATCATGACTATATATGGGCATACAACAGTTTTTTTGTCAAAGAAAATTGGATAGTTTGGACCAAGAATATATTTTACATGTCTTACCATAAATGTATTGAAAGACTTAAGGCTTGAAACCATGATGATGACAGATTCAAAGACGATGCCGCACCAGTTAAATAAAGCCCAATAGCAGTAGTTACGGTTGAACCCATGCCAGTAACAGACGTACAGAAAACACATGAAAGCACCAAGAATTTGACGTCCAATACCATGTTTTGAACCACCGAATGGGAAGTAGATGTACCTGAGGATAATTCATAGAAACACTAATAAGGCCATATTAAAAATAAAAATTGTTTCTTGTCCAGAATTTTTTAAAGAAGAGGGAGATGAAGACTCCACAGATACTGTAGGTCTGGGCATACATTGGTACTCACTGACTTTGATTGGTCAGGGGGAAATTTCCTCTCGTTGGACAAGCATGGACCCCCAGTTGTCTGATACCACATGTGGTCAGACTAAAGCTACGTTCACATCAAGCCCAGATTCCGGTCCGGAAAAAGAAACGTGAAAAATGAGCTCAGTGTTAAAGAATAGGACCGTTCACATCAAATTTGTACGATTTCTAATCCGGACTCCAGATCCGGACCAATGCATCTGAGAGCAATTTGTATCCTGAAGTCATACGTTTTTTTTTTCTTTGACCAATCAGCAACAAGCTTGGTTGGTTCGAACCAATCGAACGCATACGTAGTTAACCCGAACAACCATGTTCCGTGCGCGATGTTAACACAGCATTCGAAAAATGTAGCAACTCACAATTTTTTGTCCGGGCTCCAAACTTGATCCGGGCTTGATGTGAACGTAGCTTTAAACAAATTGATATCGCAATTAAACTAATGTTATACTAACAGTGATTGCAGTTCCTAATAAAAACTGTTCCCTTGACCTACTGTACATTAACGTTTTACTCCAGAACTCTGAATGGTTTTACTTACTTCATAAGGATATGGTGGAGCCCTCTATCAAAATATCTGAAAGACAAATTTTTTAAAGTTTGATCAAAACCCTCATGGAACTCTACAAAAAAAAAATCGAAAGTTGTCCAACAATATCAGTGCATAAAGTTATATATACATTTTATATGAATACCAAAATAATTAAATTACATTATTATAATATACTTAGAATTTTATTTAAAAAAATTTTATGCAAGCTTTATATGAGCTGTGTCTTGATGTCTTATAACCAACTCCCTTTTTTAGGCTTGAGAAAAGGAGACCTGAACATTTGACACCATCAAAGACCTATAACCAAGTCGATTTATGAGGGGACACCTAATGTTTGCTTCTCTCAAAACCCTGAAAACTTAGTCATTTGTGGCTCACAGAGTTGAGAGCAGATCAATTGGGTTCCTCAGAGTTCTATAACCAAATCTCTGAGGAGTGCAAAAATGTCATTTAGGGCTTCAAACCTCCTAGTGAGGCTTAAAACTTTCGTTGCCAACGACGAGTATATATACAGGGTGTTGCTGAGGGCGTTAAGGATACTCGTCAAAAACAGGGTAACATTCTAGCGTTTATTACTTCATTGTTATACATTGTAGAACCACAGACTTTAACAGCTGATGGTTCGGGGAAGATACACCTAGACGATAACATACAAATAACGTATGTATGTTTGTTGTGTTATGTTACCACTAGTACAAAAGATTGCACGAGTGGAGCCCCCCCCCCCCCAACCCTCTGAACATGTATACCAACCTTTGCAAACCTTGCACTTGGCAGAGTCAATAGAAAGTACTGTCCCATTGCCAGCAACGAGTTTACTTGTCCCCTAATATATTCTCCTAATTTATTAGACACACCATTTTCATTATGTGACTTGTTTTGGCACAGGGGATAAAACCTAAAAATAGGTCTGGCAGTCAACATGTTAAAGTTAAGAGCCAACCTTTTGGGTCCTTCAAATATCTAAATCCTAGTCAGTTTTGATGCATTATATATAACAATAACAAACTTTACAATGTCCCGCATTACCTCCACATGTCCCTGTATTGGTACATGGCCATTATGCAATTGGGTGGTTTTGGGGCATTGACCCCATCAACTAGAGCAAGGCATCGTGAAAGACCATATATTACAACATACTTCATTTGGAAAAAGTATAGATGACACAGAGCTGATGCACCTTTGTAAAAAGAAAAAATAGAATGAGGATTAAACATTGAATTTACAATAATTATGTCAGCAGATATTAAGATGAGGGCACAGAATTAAGAATTCTAAAGTAGTCATTTTCATGTTCAAACACATCACTCACACAATTATAGCCCAGATAAACCCTGTTCAATTTGAAATTTACTTTATTCTTCAGCCAACTATTGATCACTCTCTTCCTTTGTTGCAACACCTAATCTAACTTTCTTCCTCTTGCTTTCGTGTGTACCACGAACATTTTTGCACAAATTGGCATTGTGTATACTGTAGTCTGACCTTCATAGGTTAAGTTCAGGACAAGATCATAGACTCTTTTTGTATGCTCAAGGCTGATCATTTGATGAAAGACTGAATGTAAGTCAGAAAGTCTGTGTTGATTTGAGGGTGGCATATGCTAAGACTTTACAGGAGAATGTAGGGGAGTTATGGGTTCACACTCTCACATTACTACCCTAATCATTTGGATGATTGAAATCAATCTTGTAGCAATCCTATTGGAAGGTTATTTACATCAGTAAGTTATATAACTAACTGGACATAAATTGTTCATACATTAAACACAGGACAATGACCACCACTCTACAACTCTACTTCAAATTAATTGTCTTTCAGGTATCTCAGGATTGGGCATATTTAGGGAGGGGGGACGGGTGCATGTGCCACTAGTTTTGCCACTGCTGTCTTTGATTTTTTAATTAAAAAAATACAAAGTGGGATACAAATACTAAGTGATACGATATTTTAAAACAGCATATACTGAACACAAATCATCCCATTATTGGATGCCTATTATCTGTATAACTATCATCTAGGCCTATAGGTATATGAAATTTGTACCCACTTGTCTCAAAAATTCTGGATCTGCCCCTGTCAAGATTGGGACTCACACAAAAATTAAGATACTGGGAAAGTCTAAAATTTGGATATTTACTTACCAACTGCTAGTGGTGAAATTTTCCATAAAACAGACTGCTCATTATGAATTGCTGAGAAGTAAAGAAATTGCAGAGCAACTTCCAGAAAATAGCACCAAAAGAAGTAGTACAACGTCTCTTTTACAATCTTGCCGTATTCGTAAGGAAGAGCTAGGTTATACTAGAAGAGAAAAACAATAGAAAATCAAATCAATCAATCAATCAATCAACAATAAAATATATAGCCCCAATAGCCACAAAACAAACACAGGTCTGTAGGCGGGGGAAGGAGGTGGTGAAGAGGCCAACAAATGCACTCATCAGGGTTTAAATGCAGAGCCCTGATGGGAAGCCCGGCCCCCCACCCCACAAAGATATGCCCTTTCATGTAGTTCAGGGGTGAGCATGAAAATAGGATGGAGGGCCAATGAGAATTTTTGATTTAACACTAAGGGCCTCACCTGAACTTGTGCTCTGTTTTAATTATAATCTTTACATATAAGCAGTGTCAGGCTGTAAAAAAAAGGATTTTCTAACCAAAGATGGTTGGCAGGCCGAATATTATAGTGCTGGCACAGGACGCAAGAAATTGCCATCTTTGCCCATTTGTGATGTAATTAGATGTCAAATTTCAACAACTTAGAGACATGCCCCTGACCCACCAGTTCCAGCCTCCTGACGCTAGCGACCAGAAAAACTGTGACTTACTTGCTGATAAAACTGACCATAGGACATCAGTGGTCCCGTCATGAATGTTGGTAAATAGAACACGTATGTAATGTAGTCAAATAAAGTGAACTTCTGTGGGGCTTCGGTATGCTCCTCGCAGTAGTCAAGCCCAAAACTCATACAGCGGATACTCGTCATGGCAACAATTATTACCATCACGTAGTAGTCCTCATGTGTGAAGAATTTTTGCTGAAAATAAGTAAAATTATTTTGTAGTAGATTATAACTGCAAGCTCTCTAATTGTCTCTTGATCAAATGTACCCCTTTTACACTGCCAGCTCCATTCAAATTCCTATTCATTGACTTAAATGAAGTTAAACAAATTATCAAGGATAATGCAAAAAAGTTTTTAATTATGTGCTTAATTCCATTACGGTCCTCAAGAGCGAATCCAAGCCTGGTAGCGACGTGAAACACCGATTGCCAATAAATGGTATCAAAGGGATGGTTGGGGAATGTATTCAGAGCTATAAATTTTTGTGCAACTTCAACCACATTTTACTTCAAATAGCTACAATATAAACTTCCATGATTGGCTACAGATCCTACTTACAATCGGTGAAATCAAACTGGTGAAGTTTAGGGTTGAAATCTGGAAAAACACTCCAGCCCATATCAAATACTTTGACCATATAACCCTATAACTTTGACCCTGTAACTCTGACCCTATACTTAAAATAGCTACAACTTCCATAATTGACAACAGATCCTACTTACAATTGGTGACATCAAATTGGTGAAGTTTAGGGTTGAGATTTGGAAAAACACTCCAGCCCATATCAAATACTTTGGCCATATAACCCTATAACTTTGACCCTGTAACTCAGACCCTATACTTAAAATAGCTGCAACTTCCATAACTGACAACAGATCCTACTTACAATTGGTGACATCAGACTGGTGAAGTTTAGGGTTGAGATCTGGAAAAACACTCCAGCCCATATCAAATACTTGCTACGAGTTTTGGCCAAGACAAACATCAAGATGATGTGAGCCGCCAGGAGAAGCATGGTTGGCAGGGATAGAATGATGAACAAACCAATTACACTGTATAACAATAAGAATACTTTCCTGAACTGAAAGAAAAGTAACATAAGTTACATTATATTAAAATTGATATTTTCAAATCTGTCACGCCATACCAAGTAAATTTTGATAGATGTATCATGGTTGGCAGTGACAGGGCAATGAGGTATACCAAACACACTTTATAATAACAATAAGAAAATAAAACAAAGGGACATGGCTATAATATCAACTTTCAATCATTTTGATAGCACATAAATTGATGCTAATGATCAATGGCAATGTGATATTGACCTCCGATTGACCCATTATTATCACATTCTTAATATAATTTGTTATTAATAAATAAAATAATAACTAATATGATTTACATCATCATTTTAAACATTTTGAGACTCATTAAGGGTTGTTTGTAACCTGCAAAGACTGACAAATGGTTTAATACCATAAAATGGTATTAAACCATTTGTGTTTTAAAGCTGTATTTTCCCCCCTAAAAACTGGGCCCTATTGGAGAACAGTTGATACCTACATTACATGTTACCCTGTACAAAGAAGAAAAACAAAATTTAAAATATTTAAAAAAAGAAAAATACATGTGTTTAACATGATTGTTTCCCAGAAAAAAATTATCACGTGTAGATCCTTATAATCATACATGTACATATTCTTTTTTTGCACTGGTACGATGTTGCTATAGATTTTAGTGGAATACACACAACATGAATGTCAGTGTATTTCATGGTATGACAGATATGACAGAATGACACACATCAGAAATCAGTAGAGCCCCCAGTATTAAGAGTTATCTTCAGGTTAGAAAAAATGGTCTCCCTTAATAGGTGTTCTCCTGAATTGACATTGGTCATAGGTCATAGAGTAAAAAGATGTATTTCTCCTTGATTTGTGACTAAAAAATAGTCTCCTTAATAGGAGGTGTCCCCTTAATAGGTGTCCCCATAATAGAGGTGTCCAAAAGGAGAGGGTTTTACTCTAGTTTAGATTCATACCTGAGGAAGATGTCGTTGAAGTAGATGAGATAGTAGAACATAGCCCAGAATACCAAGCATGTTGACAGGATTCAGAAGGTTTATAAAATGGTTCCATTCTGTATCTGATATATCCTTTAGGAAAGACAATAAATAAAATTGTAAATCACTGTTAATGTTTTTCTTAATGAAGAGTATGATAATATCATTAATAATATTGTTATCATTATCATCAAGGTGACTCGTCAGCACCCTACCTGTTTGTCATGGTGGGCGACTACCTACCCAGACAGTCTGTAGACGTCAGGAACTCTTTGGGCCTAACCATTAAGCACTGCACATCCAGCAGACACCCAATCATTCATCTTACTGACCTTGACTATGCTGACGATATTGCTATTACTGCTAACCTGCTCACTGATACTCAGCACCTTCTCACATGCAATTTGCAGCTTCTAAAATTGGTCTTATGCTTAACCCGAAGAAGACGGAGTACATGAATATCGATGTAAATGTGCAACAACAACCTTGGATGGTTTCACTTTACAAGAAGTCCACAACTTTAAATACCCAGGATCTTTCATTGCTGACAGCCATAAGGATTTTTTTCATGTAAAGCCTAAGCATGGGTAGCCTGCACAAATTGCATTACATCTGGCAATCATCCATCTCTACCAAGATGAAAATTGATCTTTTTCATGCATGTGTGGAGAGCATTCTTTTGTATGGCTCCGAGACATGAACAATGAAAAGGGAACTTGAAAAGAGGCTTGACGGCACATACACAAGACTTCTGATGTGAGTGCAGAATTTAAGCTGGAAAATTCATCCCACAAAAACCGAAATATACAATGATCTCCCACCTATATCAGCCACACTTGCAACACGAAGAATTTGATTTGCAGGTCACTGTCAGCGAGCTAAAGACCAAAATGATATCTGATCTTCTACAATGGCGTATCCCCACCACTAAAAGAGGCAGACGTCCTCTCACCTACCCTGACATTATCTCCAGAGAAACTGGAATTCCTTTCGAAGATCTCGGCAAGGCCATGTCCGACCGAAACACCTGGATGGAAGTTGTCAAATCCATCTCGGCTGCGGCCAAAGGATGATGATGATGATGATTATCATAATCATTTTCATTATTATTATTATTATCACTTTTGCTACGCTCCCTAATTAGTATGCTGTGTTAACCAAACAAGGTTTTAACAACTTACAGTAAACAGCCTGTACATATATAATATTGTGTTGTCTGACAATTCACTTACCTTTTTAGTACCAAATATTCTCCAGCCATTTGCAAAATTGTAGCGCTTCAATTTAAAGAATTTTGCTGATAAACGAAAACACAAAAAAGTTACCATTATTGCCATTGCTAAATTTTGAATACTGGAATGAGTCATAATTGCCTTTTGAAATTATAAATCATATAATTTATTAGCTAAAACTCATATTTGCCTAACCTTAAAGTTAGGGTTGGAGTACATCCTTAATATAAACATCACAAAAATACTATGTAAACAAATAGGCATTCTATTGGTTCCATATCCACAGCACTATAGCTGAGGTTGAACTCCCTTCCCTTTAATTGATCACCCACTACTACCCATCCATCCATCAGTTTGTCATTTTTTCGCTTCATTATCAATTCAACTTTCCCTCCCACGCTTGTTTGTTTATTCATTTGTCAATCGTCTATCTGTTCATTCATCTGTCAATCAATCCATTCTCCCTTTTTCCCTTCCTCATTCATTCATTCATTTTTCCCTTGTTCATTTGTTCAATCGTTAGTCCATACAATCTGTCTGTTCACTCACTCATTCATTCAATTATCATCCATATGTCCATCCATCAATTCATTCATTAATTTCTGCATCTTATTTGTTCTTTTGGAATTATATTTCTTTTTTTGACTTCAATATTTTTTTAGATGTCAAAGCTTGTATGCTCATCAATAATTAAAAGATAGAACTATGTGAGCTACACAAAATGTCCCATCACCAGACCATAGAATTGTAAGGAAAACACCTACTGTAAAAGATGTATTGTCCCTTGCAAAATTTGAAAAAATAAATAAAAAAAATCATAAGAATCATTTTTTAAATTTACTTGTACTTTTTGCAGTAACATACAAATTATCAACTTGAACATAGAAATTTCTAGTGCATTAAAAAAATTGTATTCAATTTTGTTATTTTCAGTGGAAAATACATCTTTAACCATATTTTATGCTTTTATTCAATTTAATGTGTTAAATACCTTTAGATTCTCGGTGTAACTCCTGCATAACTATGCACATCATTACACATATAAATATAAAGTAAGCTCCTACTTCAACCCAGGGAAGGGCTGCAATTTCATTGTCTCGTTTAGAAACAGGAAATGTTGAGCCTGCTTTTTCTGCATTATTCTGTGTTTTTTCATTATTCTTGATCTTATTTTTATTCTTTTCTAACTTTTTGCGCCGTCGTCTGGAATCCATCTTCAAGATTTTGCGAACTGGGAAGAAATACATGACAATTATGCAATTGAAAAAAAAAAATGGAGATGGCCTACAATGTCACGACTGGTAATCGAACTTAAAAAACACGGACGGTAGGTAAACACTTCCTCCTCAGGGTCTGGTATACTACTACTAGCCCATATTATAAATGAACAAACGGGTGGGATGCCGGTGCCTCTCCTAGCTAGGGAGACTAGAGGCCTAGCCTAAGTAGGACCTGGACTTACTTAGAGTTTTAGGTCCAGGACCTTTTCTTTAGTAATAGTTAATTATTTAGAGGCCTAGTCCCTGGTTAATTAGACAACCACCGTTCTGTAATGAGCACATTATCGATATAGATTATAAATAACCAACATATACTTACTGAATATCAAGCCATTATTAATTACAATAAGTCTACTTCCCTTTTATAGCAACAATCAGGGCGGTACTTTCCCTAAATCCGTGGTCTTCGTGGTACAGTCCTCTATTCCTGTAGACATTCCGCTTCAAAACGACTGCTAATCAATTACGAGTGAACGAAAGAGGTCATCTGCTTTATATTTCATAGTTTTATTAAATTAGAAACAAACTGTATTTCAATATTAAAACACATTATTTATATAATTCTAAGGTTTATTATTTATTTTGTTATTAATGGGTGCAAAATAATATTTTTTAAAGAAGAATATTAGCAACATAAATAAATAATTTTGATACATATTTTTTAAAACATGGCGGGTTGTTGTTGAGAATGTGAATTTTATCTAGAAACATCGTTGGGATATTGTTTCTTTACTAACCAAATGAGTCTCACGTCTATTTATCCCATGAAGAAGAAACGGAAGCTTACAAAAGATAAAACACCAGTCAGGAAGACTTCACGGAATCGGGGTTTGTGTATTTAAATGTTATAAAATAAGCTCGATTTTCTAGGCTAGGCCTAGGCTACATCCTCTTTCCTAACTAGGCCTAGGCCTACCCTAGGCTAGGCTACCTAGAGGCCTAGCCTAGCCTATGGAGGGAGAGGCCCGAAAGAGGCTAGGCTGCAGCCTAGTCGCCCCGCTCCTACTGCTGTAGCCCTGTGTGTAGGCTTAGGCTACCTCTTCTTCCTTCTTCCTTGTAGCCCTCTGAAGTTTTAGTAAGTACTGTAGGCTAGCCTAGGTGGGCCGGGGGCCATATGAGTAGAACGGCAAGGTACAAGGTCATAAACACAAATAAATAGGCCTAAATGATGAAGATAAGGAAGTGGAGCTGACAGTGTCCTGTAAAATTCTACAGATTATTCTCCAATTGTGTTTACATTTTCGCTATTTTCGTTTTGATTTTTAAACAAATCAAACCATTTTTTTGCCATTTTTTTTAAACTTCAACAATGTTAGGCCTAATGCCTATTATACAACATACTGTAATTTTTTTTTAATTGTGCAGATGATACCTTAATATTAAACTCGAAAATTAGCTGAAATTTGAGAGGAAAATCGCTATGAGTATGAAAATAGGTGCAATGCTGAGTCTTATCTACTGCATAATAATACTAAATATAGTACACTGGTTATATATAAGGCCAAGTAAAAAAAAAAAAGAAGTTTCTCGTCCCTGCCCGCATGCTATTTTCAGGCCGCTTTGTTTTTTTTTTATATATACTGTATATATATTCAATTTTCAATAAAAATCCATCGCATATTTTGTCTTAGTTTACCTCATTTTCGTCATTTCGACTGTTTACTGATCGTGAAGACCGCGACGAGTACGATAAAAATTTTGGCAGCTACCAATTTTTTTTTAAATATCGGTGGTCCGAAAGGGATATATTATCAATACATGCCTGCTGCGAGTTGGACCGCCAGTTTCAATTAGCGTATGCTCTGTAAAATAAAAAGTTGCAGTACCAAACGGTTTAATTATAAAGAGAATTGACCAATAAACATATTGCAATCAGTATCACGTGTCTAAATCGTGTTGGGCCGCATTACTTTTAGCAAGCTATTGGCGTGATGAATAACAAGAAGAAACAAGCGTGAAGAAAAGCACGCACTGATCCGCCATCTAAATTTTTAAAGCCGTACTTTGGTCATTCTGTAAATGAGACGAGTTTGACATTGGCAGATGTGTTCAATGAATACGCCAGTGGCCAATTTGATGGCAAAGTCCCAATAGCCGACAAATACACGAAAGTGCACAAGTATTAGTATTGGTTGGTTGTATAATAACTCTAGGCCTAGGCCTAGATACTATTTAACAATGTACATAATTCGAGTTGCATCGCTGAAATACAACTCGGGACCAAACGGCCAAGATTTATTTTTGAACATTGAAAGCCCCCCTTTTATTTTTTGTTTTCTTAAAGAAAAAAAAACAAAAAAAAAACCACCCTCATCCTCTTTAAAAAAAAATTAGGACGAGAAACTACTTTTTTTTTTTACTTGACCTAAGCTTATACAAATACTTATTTTTCTTCAAAATCTTTATTTTCCAAAATGTGCGCACAGATTTTTAGGCCTATTTTTGGTTGGAGGATATATTTCTTCCAGAGACCTTGCTTTACAGTCTGGCCTATTCATAGATAATTAATGTTTTAATTACCATCAATAAAAATCAAACATACTTTCTTTGCTGGAATATTGAATGCCAAGCAATTGTGTGTACAAGTTCATGTTAAATTAGCAATCATTTATAAGGAAAACTAGTCTAGTAGCATACAACTATATCAGTTGTTACTCTGTAAGAACTACTACTGTATAGCAATCTAACAAAGCCTTGATGATTATATAGATGAATACTACAGCAAATAATACTGTAGCCTCAGTGAGATCAATTCTTGCCAAGTTATACATCATGTTTCCTTTTTTTAAATTTTTTATACAGTTTTGTTTTTTAAAATAAACAATAAAGTGGATGAGTTTCCTGCCATACTTATTACAGTACCAGATGTCACAGTTCAATGAACAGTTTTATATAGAGAAATGACATGTTAAAGTTATATTGTTTACCTTAATTATTACTCATCTGGTTTACGCAAGACTTTTTCATACCTTGTTTAGTGAACCCCTCCACCTGCCAATAATGATGAGTTTAAATAAAAATAAAATTTTATTTTTGGCCAGTTAATGCACCTTCCGCCACGAAAAAGTGGACATTTCAGAAAAAGATAAACATATAAATATGTTTATTCATTTATTTATTTTTATTTATTTTTTTAAATAAATTTATTTTTATTATGCCTGCCACTTCCTTAAAATCTTCCAAAACAAGATGTCTAGCTATAATATATTGACTTCCTTAATTATATTTAAAGCATAATCTATCCTATTTCTACTACACTGTTTTCATTTAGCAATAATATTTTATTTTTATTTTCTCCTCCTCCTGGATGCTTTTGGCAAAACCCTTTGCTAATTAAGAAAACAATATTTTTAAAATAATAATTTTCCACACTCTGATGATCTTAAAAAAAAAATGAGTTCACTAAACAAGGTATAAAAAAAGGCTCACCTTATTCTATAGCCTTTAATATATAAACCCTGCCCTGATGATAAAAATTAATACAGTCTACTCATCATAAGCTCAACCCATATGATGCTTCATCAAAATTTATAATAATACTGTAATATACCTATGCAGTAATATTGAAATTGGAAAACGAAGCCTAAAAAATTGATGTCTTATATTCTTCAAACCTGATGAATGCTTGTGTAAATGAATGTAATGATAAAAAAAAATAATAAGAGTTGATAAAAAGCTACCAGTGTTTTTTTATATGTTTACATGACTAACACTGCACCACCTACACTTCACTTCTTCACTTATATTCACTGATAAGATGGATAAATGTTTAATATTTTATGTGTTTTTTTATACAGATGCGGATTGTTCAATGGCGGCATCAATGCTAGGCACACCAAGTCCAAACAACTCAAGTGTTGATGTCGACAAAGACATCATTTGGGACAACTGTTCCCCAACTCAACACATACCGATGAGGCTAAGTATGTATTTAAAATTAATTTATTATTTCTAATTTTTTTCTTAATTTCTTGACAATATCCTAAGAAATGTCCTACAGTACATAAATAATACATACACGAATGGGAAGATGGGTGAATAAATGAATAAATAAACAAAAGAATGAATGAACAATGAAAAGATGTAAATATAAATAGCTAAATTAGCAACTAAATAACATAATATAACACTAAACTAAATACACACTAAATAAAAAATATACAAATATCTAAATTATTAAATGACTTTATAAATATCTAGGAAATAAATATCTAGATAGATAACTAACTCAATAAATGACTCGATAAATAACTAAGTAAGTATATGAGTAACTAAAAATCTGTTGATTATTTTTGTATTTAACACAAACGGGTCAGATTATTAAGGGTTAGAAAAACACATAGGCCTATGGAGACATACATTATTTTGAATAATTTTTTATTTTCTTTTAAGGAAACAAAGGATTATCAGATGCATCGGATATAGCTCAATTTATGAAGTTAATTCCAGCAGAGGTATGCATTCAGTTTAATTTATTAGATTTATACGGTATGTTGTAAGAAATCATCTTTATTTTCTATAACCAATTAGTTGTTTACCTTAGCAACGGTAATTAAAACAGAACAGATAATTTTCCAACTGCTGTATACTTTATGGAACAGATGAAATTCTTTGACAATATTTGATTATTATTGCGTACAATAATTATCCAGTACCAATATATATTTAATATTTAAATCCGGACATACACTGCGGGACTCGATTTGATGGAGAAGGCGTGCAACTGGGTGTGGGCAACAGATAATTTTAATGATGCTCAGTCCGCCATCGAAAATCAGCAGATGGTGTCGCATAGGTTCGTTGGCTGATGGTTGTGTAACCGTTGTACGACACTCTATGTGTGCCGAACTTAAGAATTCAATTTTTGCGATTGTTAATGCAGTTGAAACTTCTTTTTAACTCCAATTTTAGAAAGCTGTAAATGTTGAACTTCCACCTCTCCTGGGACTGTGGATGGAACGAGGTCATGAACTCATTACCGAGAATCTTGAATCATCTAGTAGACAACCCAAAGCAAAGTAAGTCAAATAATTTGATGCATACAGGAAAATGTCTGTTTATTTGCAGCATCACTAAAAGTTGTGACATACAGTTGGTGCTATTTAACTGTGTTCAGAGGGCCTATCAATTTGATTCAACTTCTATTGTCCTATATCAAATCCTAATTCAACAGCAAATAATAAATTCTGGTCATTGGCTTTTGGCCTGTTATCTTCTCTTTTTGCCGAACTTACCACAAAATATACCTTCTTTGATGAAATATTGGAAGCAAGCTTATTACTGTGTCTATCACGAGATGACATTAATTTCATTTTTTTTGTGCTGTATTTTACAGGGGAAGAAAAAGCAGAAGTAAAGTTGGTCATCTTAAGTCAGATGTGTTTTCCTCCGAGCTCTGTAAGTTGGCTAAGTTAATGGAAAGCAAACAAGAAAGCCCAGTAGCCACAGCTTGCCATACAGCGACGTAAAGAACGAACTCAACAGGTACTCAAATCTACAAGAAATACTACAAGCTCTAAGCAAATCAGTCGAAGATAACCATTATATTAGCTTTTTTCATAGCTTGATAACTATTATCTTTTATATTTTTTCATATGCAAAATTTGATATACAATTCATACCTATTTTATGCTTTTTTATATTGAATGATTTCTACAGATTATTATCACCTGCAAATATAAACATAATTAGTAATAGTATTACATTTTGTGTAATCTCCGGAAAATGTTAATTATAATATTGATTTTTCTGCTATTAAAATTTATATTTTCTTTAGTAGTAGACTATTGTGTATGTCGAAGCATGTGGAACAATGCAAAAGCACTGGGCCTACATTACCAAGTGAATGAGTTCGAGACCGATTGTGGTTATATTTCTTCGTACAAGGCACTTTTTCTACACTTTGTAAATTAGAAAATAATAACAAAAATACCTTGCCAATTAATACAGCTATATTTTTTTTACATAGATTCATAAATTGGTTAGCAGCATATTCAATTATTTTTTAATTGGAAATCATAAACTCATCCACTCCAATTAGGTAGCACTATTATAAGTAGTAGAAGGATTGGTTGTGACTGGAATTCTCAACCTTAAGGTTGGGGGTAAAAACCCCTCCCTGTGCTGGTCGCTTGTGTTCTTAGACAAGACACTTCATCTACATTTGTCTCTCTCTACTGTAAAGGTAAAACACACTGCCTGTGCGGGAGGAGTGGCGAAACCCCCCCCCCCCACAGCCTTGCACTGTCTGGCAAAAATGCCAAGGAAAGTGACGGGCACTCCAGCCTGTGTGCTTCAGGTTTCAAACTTTAACTTTTAAATACAGTTCCTTAAAATATTATATTCATAAATTGGCTGGCAGCGAATCTGATTATTGAGGAAAAGAGACTGTAGATCTGCTTTGCATCTCATTGGAACTTATTTGATACTTTAAAAATATGAATAATTCAATACGTTTGGTTGCATGTTTCAGTAGTATTCAAGATTTCGTAGCTCACATCACAAACTAACACAATCAAAGTAGATTGTGTTAGCTCGTGAAATCAAGAAAGTGCATCAAAATACGCGCTGTTGTTGTTAACAACTTTTGTGTGGAAAAGAATACAAAAGTACTTGATGACTAGTACGCGCTCGTTTTGGCGCGCTACTGTGATTCCACGAAGTAACACAATGTACTCTGATTGTGTTAGTTCCTGATGTGAGCGAAGATTTATCCAGATAATTCTTAAGCCGGACACTCAATGCCTCGAACAACGAATCCAACTCTGTTCCGCGCTCCCCGTGATCGTCCGTCTGCTGAATGTGGGTTGCAGTATGAACGGATGGATCGCCATTGAAAACAATCGGTTGCGCTTGTGTCATGGCATTCTCCATACAATCGTGTTGGCCGACAGCGAGTGCCCAGTTTGAGAATATGTAGTATTAAAAGAAATTACATAAATATGTATACTGTATGTTAAATGTACTTTGATATGTTCTGTATACATGTTCACATGGTGCTTTATTAGTTTATATACATTTGCTACAAAATTATATATTCTTTATGTTCTAGAGTATAATTGTGTACACATCCAGTGTAAAAGAAAATTAAAATGTCCATCAGCTGATCTTCCTAGTTTGTTTTTCTTTTCATTTATTTTGATATCTTGTCATTGTTACAGTTGTAAAAGAAAATATATTAAAAATTATGATAAACAGAATTTTCCAATCAGTTGAACTTCATCAACGTTTAATACAGTACAGTACTTGGTCTTTCACATAATTACAATCCATTATTGAGTAAAAGCAAATTGTTTTTTGAAAATTCATATCCATAATACATTTGTAACATTAAAAATACTTCACATTAAATCAAAATGGGGACTAATTTCATCCAAATTAAGTGTAAATATTTGAAAAATACTATATATAAGAGTTGATTTCAGCTAACTATACTGTACATTAAACTGTATGGCCACAACCATACCCACAGTCACCAGGGGAAAATCAAATAGGGGCATGGAATAAACAACATAATCTATCCCAAAATGAAATTCACATGGCAATTTATTTGGATAACTTAAGTATAAAGCATCAGATTTACAAAATATGTCCAGGATTTTTTGGCTACACAAGCATAGTTAAATGTCAGCCACCCCTCCCCCTCCCTTGTCAGATGAATCTTTAGCACTACTGTATTAATACTGACTCATCAGGCACTTTTAAGACTGCATCTATACAAATGTAGACAATAGGGGACAGAATTCAAAATAATGGTCAATAAATTAATGATTCTGATTTCATTGATTTTAAAAATTAAAATGACTATGTTTTAATTGATGTCTTTCAATTAAGTAGTCTTTTAGACTCATGTGCACTCTAAAGAACCAAGTACATGTTTCAAGACGAGTAGGGGTTTAACCCGGTGTACTGGTCCATTCAGCCCCTGCTGTTGACAGACGAGAGTACCTGGTACCAGATAGCTCAGACACGAAGAGACCCTTAGGGGAGAAGCAAGTTACAGTAGGAGCCAGTCCACACCTGGAACGATCTGAGACCGTTTCAGTGTAAAGCACTATATAAATCTAAATATATTACATTACACATTTGTTAATAAAGAGGTTTATAGTAAGGCATCCACCCATGAATATTCCTGTGGAATAACTCAATTTCTCAAAATGGAGTAAAAACAGAAAAATTAGCTTTAACAAGACACCAATATAAAAGATAGATAAATGTCCTATTTTTCCTAGAAAATACAATGCACCAAAACAATATTCTAAAGGCATGTCCACACTATCAAATAATTACGTGAAAATTGTGTGTGATGTGGCCGTATATGGGCATAGTGTTGTCACATCACACCCATATATGGGAATATTACAGTTTTTGTAACATAAAATTTGATAATTGTGGACAGATCCTAAAGAAATTAGGAAGGTTAGGATTTGAAAAGCACCTACATAAAATATATTTTAGGGTTGTGGTGAAAAAAAACTTTAAAAAAAAACATTTCAACATATTAAGATTATTGTGAATTCAAATATTTTAACCTTTAAATTAATAATAAAAAATAATGATTTTTTTTTTATTACTAAAAATATTACAAATATACTGGCTGCCAAAATCTAATATTCCAAAAATAAATATTTGTATATTTAAGGAATGATCAGCTTTCTACTAAAAATTAGAACAAGCTATTAATTATCCTCATCAATTAATGAATGTTTAAATATTATCATTTCTAATCTTTGCATACCCTTAAAGGATTGTTGCAGTAACCCTTTTGTTAATCAGGCATGACTTTTTTATACCTCGTTTTGAGAACTTATTTTTTTAAAGATTGTCAGAAGAGGAGCACAAAAATTAAAATTTAATTTTTGTTTTCTCACTCAGCAAAATAAGTCTGCCAAAACCATCTAGGCGGAGGAGAAGATAAAAATTAATTTTTACCAATGAATTAAACAGTGTAGTAAGATTGAAATATGCCTCTAATAACTATTTTGGGTTCAGATATGTCATTAGTTTTGATATACGTAATTTCAATTCATACACAAGCCGTTTCCATGCCTACACCAGATATAATAGACTGGCAAAAAGGATTTACAACAGAATTCATAACAAAAAAACAGGTCTGGCATGTCTACTTACAGTTAAATATATTTGATGTATTAAAATGGACAATGAATAACAATATGATAATAGGAGATTAATATAAGGCAATTAATTAATTAATTAATATTATTTTTAAAGGCAAGCAGGATATACTTGTAAACCTCAATAAATTCATTTTTTTGTTCTTTAAAAAAAAAAAAATTATTATTAATAAATGTTTATGTGGCAAAGACAAGCCAAACCAGTCAATTGTCGCAAAAATCAATTTTTTGTTATTAATACAGGGTTAAAATGAGAAAAATGAGAGCTTTAAAATGGTAAAAGAATTAATCCGACATTCCGTTATGAAGTTACAGGAGTTTAAACCATACAGCCGTTTAAAGAACAATATTTGAGAAATCAGCCTTCAAAGTTTATGATTTTGGGCATTTCTTAGGCAGAAACCATCACCAAATTGTTACAAATTGTTGTTTTAACATTGAAAATGAAGAAAATAACAGCATAGCATGATAAACTATATAGATATATAAAGGTTAGTTTAGTGTAGTAAAATAGATTTTAAAAATGTTGACATCCCAGCATGTTTGGCCATTATTTCTGAAACGGGATTTGCGACGACCGTCTGGTTTGGCTTCTCTTGGCCACATGATATTTACATGAAATCTTTATGAAGTACAATAACTGGAAAAAGAGGCAAAATGAATAACATATGATAATTAGGAGATTATTAAATAAGGAAAAACAAAATTTATACTCCTATGAAATAATATTCACATTATTTGTAACGGCAACTGATTATGCTTGTACTGTACGCCTAAGTAAATAATTTTTTTTCTTTTTAAAAAAGACATTATTAATAATAATATTTATGTACATGATGCGACTTAAAAAGTTACCAAAAGTGTGGGAAAAAGTTTAAATAACTATCATAATTTTGTTGTCTAGGCTTTACAAATTCAATCAATTATCAAAAACCTTTGGTGTTCCCGCATATAAATATAATAACATTAGTTATATAAATATAATAACTTATGGTGATTTTCCCCATTTTATTATTATATTATACATTCTGAAGCATATTTAGTAATATTTGTTAAGACTATAATTATTACTATAGTATAAATTCTATTTACTTCAATATAGGATTTATATACAGCACACATATCTGCAACATTCAACTGAAAGCTCATAAGCCTTGCCCCATTGCAGTGGCACCACCAGCAAGGAAGTGGGAGGGGAGGTGGGGTAGAGGATTATGCACTTTATCAGACAGGTCAAGCCACAGAACAAAAATTCACCGGCAAGGAAGGGGGAGGGGAGGGGGGAGAGGATTATGCATTTTATCAGACAGATCAAGCCAAAGAACAAAAATTCCATAAGCGTAGATTGCAGAACGTCTCAGACCAACAAAAAAATTGAAAGATTTTCCTCCTAGAACCCCACACAGGTTCATTTAAATAAAAAATCTTTTCCATGGCCCTGCTGGTCTTTTCCCCCTCCTCCCAAACCATAAATTGTTATCCAGGCTACTAGAGAGTGTATATCACACAGAAACCACTGTGGCAAAATTAATCATCCCTGTGGCAAAAAAAAACATCCTGATTTCCCTCTCATATGATTGGATATAAGCAACACACAGACTCAAGAAATATCCACTGAGCGTACTGGGTTTTGTACGTTTGTATACTGTATCAAATGAATACCGCATTCACAATTAAGTACTGAATTTTAGATCTTTCTGCCGGGTTTGATCATTTTAAATAATAAATTTTATGAAAAAAATAATAGTAAGAATGATTTACTTCTCCTTACAACAACCTGCCTACAATTAAAGAGGCTCTTTTTAAGAGCCAATCTCCATCCAAAATAAAGTATACCTGAAGTTAATATTCTTTACAAAATATTAATTTCAAGATAATAATAATATTAAAAATACTATGGTAAAAATAATTTGAAGAATAATAACAATGACAACAAAAACAATAATAAAATAAGAATACAGTAATAATTAAAAAAAAAGATAATATGATACAATAAAAGCATTGTAATGGTTACCATTGTAACAATAATAAAGATAGCATTTTTACAGTATATACACTACACTAGCAACAAAAATGTTGCAATTAAATAAATGGACAGACGGAAACAATTCAAAGATAATGATGCCCATGAAAATAATTTTTCCGTGCTGCAACTAAAAAAATCTCACTGAGCTCCTTGTCCAAGTCACTGATTTCTCCATATAAGCCCATATCAAAGGTAACATGGCAACAGCAAACAAAAGTGTCATGACAGCATGTCTGATCTAAGCATGCCCAGAATTTGTTGCTATTATTACGTTAACATAATCTTTACCCTCTAAATTTTCTTCATTATTTCTTTCGAGCTTTCTTTGCAAACAAGTCTGATTTTGCACTTGTTGCCGGCACATCTCTGTGAGCTCTCTTTCGACTGGGGCCTTCCTTATCGTCACCAGTTCGTTCATCCAACATGGCCACTTTGGCCGAAAGATCCTCAAACATTTGATCATATTGCACTTGTTTACTCTGTTGCTCTAGTAACTTCCGCTCCAAAACACCGTTTGCGGTCGACAGCTCGGCAATGAGCAGTCCCTGCTGGGCTACTGTGCGCCCCTGCTCTTCCACCTTCCGGCGTTCCTCCGCCAGCTGCGATTTACAACTTTGAAGATCCTTCTTAAGAGTAACGATGCTGGTGAGTGTGTACCGTTGCTTTGCTTGAAGTTTATGGAAAGCCTGTTGGTAGCGATCCTGACATATATCGGATGGATCAGTTAAATCGCCTGCCATCCTCACTCCTGAAACAATCAAATAACATGTGAGTTCTATGTGGCTGTAAAGTGCACTTAACATGATGAGCTGTATGCGTCAACAAATAGAAAGACTTGTCAATAATACACCATCACGACAGCTGTCTTCACTGGATTCAAATCCTCAGTAGGTTTTATCTACAATGGGTCTTCAACATGTCTAAATATTCTATTTGCTGCGTTGGAAAAACAGCCTAATTCATGCTGGGCACAATTCACTTGGTTAAACTTACCACATTGCTTCGATAATTTGACCAAAACTAATGCTACAGAGGGTGTCCGTACTGGATAATTTTTGGTCATACTGATTGAATGGTTAGTTTGACCAACCAACTAAATTCGAATATGAACAGGGTTCATACAAGATATCGTACAGGATCTCGTACAAGATCAAGAGCTTCATTCTTTCTGTCTGAATTCAAAGCTATAGCTGGTATCCAGAAATTAAATGTTTGTCTCAGTGTATAGTAGTTACTTATGTTATTTAAATTATTTATATTGCGTTCATCGAGCCGATACTATTTCATTGTATGTTTATATGTACATTTGACAATAAATTTAATCAGTATCTGTATCTGTTTTAGCTTATAAAGCATTGCAGTGACAATCATCACAGGGTTTGTTATCTGACCTTTGGGGAGATTTGACCTCTGAGTCAGTGCATTTGCATAATTCTACGCCCAGTGTAAAGCACATCCAACCCGAGTACCCTGTGAAGCGAGATCATTTCAAGTGTAGAACTCAAACTGAATATGTCTGCGATTAGTATTATTGTATCATAGTTCTTTGGTGGCTTAAAAGTGCTTTGAGACGGTTTTTATTCTAGAAGGCACTATAAAAATGCCTGACCATGACCATATTAAAAGAGCCTAAGCACAAGAACAATGTCCAATAAACCAAATAAGTCACCAAAGAAGATGTCATCACAATTTTGCCAAGTGAGTATGATTTTTTTAACATACCACAAAGAGCTATGCTAATGCACTGAGTGGAGTCGAAAGTGGTGTACATTAAATCGTCTAAAATGTAATAAAGTTAGCGTAAAAGATACTTTTTATAACAGCATATACATTTTAAATGATTTATAGATTCATGAGATTAAAAGGCTGATTTGATTTCAAAATTCTGACGTTTATTAAAGAAATATTTATTTACTAATGCTTTGCGATATGTTACTTTATGATAATATGTACAAATATAAAAAATGAGGAGTTAAAATACTGTCGAAATTTATTCGAGTGGAGGCTTCTTATTGTGTGAAAAAACTACCACCTAGCAGTTTGTTTTGATGTTATACCCACTACAGTAGCTTTGTTTTGGTGACTAATTCGGTCATTACGGTAAGTACTGACATTTTGACTATATCTAGGCCCTGTGGAAGATTTTTCAGTATCAAATGGGAAGAAAAATAAAGACAAAACTTATCAAGGCTTACCTGCGCTACTGTAAGACTGTGAAGGGGTTTCTCGTGGGAGGAGGGACTTCTTCAGACCAGGTACAATTTTCTCGTCAAAGTGTTCCATGGCCATCGACGAGATGTCTCGGAGTTCTTGAAGTAGCTCATGTGCCCTTGGTGGCGACTCGGTCGATTGTAAGTACCGCAAGACATAGTAAACCTCATCAATAACCTAAAATGATTAGTTTATTAATAATAATACAAATATTTATTATTATTATTATTATTATTAATAATATTAATATCAATAGGTATTTATATTATTAGTATTATTGCTTCAAACAATGTTACTATAAATTTTAATTAAAATTAGGTATTTAAATTTTAATGGCAGTATTATTAATTATAATCAAACAATAATTTAATAATAATTATTAGAAACAGATCAAAACATTAAGAGGAGGTAGGAGACAGATTATCCAGATACAAACCATTTCATTTTGTTGCCATCATCAATTATGATGGCCTTCCTAATCATATTGCATATTTTTATCAGAAAGAATTGCTCAAAAGAGGGAATTTACCCCAAAGTCTGGACAAGGTCCACTTTCAAGAACAAGAGCTTAAATTAAGCAAAGTTTTAGACACATGTCCACATCCACATCTTGTAGAGCAGCTTAGCTCAGTCAGCTAATATGGTGGTAGCTACTGTGTGTGCACTGATCCATGGAGATCTATAGGTCGCAGGTTCAATTCCCATCGCTGCTCTCCACGGCACTAACTAACTTCAACTACGCAAGTTACAGTAGCGCACCGCCTTTCGATGAGATGTTTATGCCGTTGGTCCCGTGTGCATCGCGGCCCATGTGAAAACGCAGTAAACTCTTCGGAAAGGAGTACATAGGCGATTGTCTCCCGGTGTACTGCCCAATCACCACAAGAAGGAACCCACTGGAAATAACTGATAAACCCATCCATCCAACCCCACCAGGACTACCTCAAGAACTTATGTATCTTTAACCTGTTTAACTAACCTTTCCTGGAATGAAACAACATAGACGAAGATCAATATATTTGGAGTATGTCATCGATAACAATGACATTCGTGTCTCAATTGCGGACAGGATATCACAATGCCGTGCGAGTGCATGGTTACGTCGCTCCGATTCACGCCGTGGTAATAGTGCTTTTAGTTTGCGTGAACACTGGTTGTGATAACGCATCACTTGATGCAGACCTTGGTTTAATACACTCTGACACACTTGATTAAAAAATTTGCATACCTGCAAAAAAAAAAATCATTATAAAATAAAATACATCACTTTATACTTATCAATAATTAATATATTTGAATTTTGCCGTCCCTTTCAAGAATATATTTGGCCATCATCGACTGGTAAAATTTACCAGTTGACTTTTGCTTTAAGGGTAGAACAGTAATTTGTTTGTGGTTATTATAATTTTAAAGAGAGAGCACTATAGCTGAACAATTTTTGGACAACTGAAAATTATTTTTTACTACATAGAATACTTTTGTAACATAAATAAACAATATTTTACTACATAAAATACATTCAAATTTACACTGATTAAAAAATACATAGCTTTTATTTGAAATTATTTTATATAATAATAATTATTAATATTATTATTATTATAGATTTATGAATATGTACTAGATTTTGTACAGGATACACTGTCTCAAATATATAAACTTTGCCATACAGTTATGGCACAAACCCTTGGATTAGTTGACAAAGAGACTGAAAAGAAACATTCATACATGGTAATTAATATTAGTTTTTTAATTTATGGCTAGCTAGAACCAGATATCCATCCTCAAATTTTAAATTATTTTTAGGGCGACGTATTTGTTTGTATAAGAATGTACCATCTGATTCTGGGCATTTTTGCTCTTCGAATAGGCCACTACAATCTATAAGTATGCCTACCTAGATCTTTGAAGCCTAGCCCAGGGAGGTGCTCCTTGTCTAGACCTAGGCCTGGCTAAAGTCTTGCTAGCAAGGGGTCAGGAAGGCAAGGCTTCAGACAGTGCCTGAGCAGAGAGGTGGTCTGAGTTTTAGGTAAGGCCTAGGGCCTAGGCCTACCTCTGGTCTGGCCCTGTCTGAGGAAAATTAAATCGGAGTGATAATTTTTACAATTAATTAAACTTGATAGGAATAAAACTTGTTTAGGCTAGATGTATATAAAACATTCATAATACTAATATCAGAGGCAAATAAGATACACGATTGAAAAACAGGGCATAGGTAGGCCCTAGGCCTAGGATTTGTTAAACTACAAGAGCAGCGTGAATACTTGAGCCGACAGGGGCTTAAACCGACACTCCCCTGATGACCCACTGGAGTCTACTCTAACAACATAGGCCTAACTTTACACAACTTACCAGACGTTTTTCACTAATTTCTGCGTAAGAACAATTCGATAAAATCATCTCAACAACTTCTGTAGGTAGTGATAATAATGTCGGTTGCTCCAATACTTTACTGTCGTCTGTCTCATTTGTTTCATAGGAAAGTGATGTGGATGGTTCGACCCTTGAGCTCCGCACAGACGGATCCATAACTGCGTTTGTATTGCGATATTATCATTTCTCTCAGAGAGTAGGCCCTGGTTTATCGGAGTCATATTTTTTTACACAGACGTCATTATCATAATCATTATCACTGATCATCCTCATGGCCATGACCTTATACATTATCAACATCACCTTCATCATTATTATCATCATCATCATCATCACCATCATCATCATCATCATCATCGTCATCAAAATATTTATCTTCCTCATCATAACTACCACCACATCATCATGATCATCGATCACCATCATCATCATCATCGTCATCATCATCATCATCGTCGTCGTCATCATCATCATCATCGTCATCATCATCATTCACTGATCTTTGTTATTACCATCTTATCTATTACCATCATCATCATCATCACCATCGTCATCATCATCATCATTCACTGATCTTTGTTATTACCATCTTATCTATTACCATCATCATCATCATCATCGTCATCATCATCATCATCATCATTATTATTGTTGTTGTTGTTGATGATGTTGTTATTCCCTTAACGTCGTGTTATTTTCCCCTTAACATCATTTTTTAATTGTTCTCTAATTTCTCTATTAAGTTCCCTTTAAGGTAGGTTTTAGTAACATTATCATTATTATTATTATTATCATTACAATTATTATTATTATTATTATTATTATTATTATTATTATTATTATTATTATTATTATTATTATTAT